GGATGTTTTTCAAAAATGAATACAGCTAAGTACATCGAAATCCTTGATGAAAACCTGCTCCAGAGTGCTTGAGACCTTCGACTGGGGCGACGCTTCATCTTTAAGCATGACAATGACCCTAAGCACACGGCCAAGAAGACAAAGGAGTGGCTTCAGGACAAGTCTCTGAATGTCCTTGAGTGGCCCAGCCAGAGCCCAGACTTGAACCCGATTAAACATCTTTGAAAAGACCTTAAAGTAGCTGTGCACCGATGCTGCCCATCCAATCTCACTGAGTTTGAAAGGATGTGCAAGAAAGATGGGAAAAACTCCCCAAATCCAGGTGTGCCAAGCTTGTTGCATCATACACAGGAAGACTGGAGGCTGTAATCGCTGCCAAAGGTGCTTCAACCAAGTATTGAGTAAAGGGTGTGAATAATTATGTATGCAACATTTGAGTGTCTTATTTTTAATAAATTTGCAAAATGTTCTACAAAAAGTTTTTCGCTTTGTCATTACGGGGTATTTTGTGTAGAATTTTTGAGGGAAAAAAAGGAATTTAATCCATTTTGGAATGAGGCTGTAACATAACAAAATGTGGAACAAGTGAAGTGGTATAAATACTTTCCAGATGCACTGTATCTTGTTCGTTGAGTGGATGTAACTCCTGATCGTTTCTGAAAACTCAAACATGTTCCTGATTGCTTGTCAATATTCTGAGAACGAAATTTTCTGCACAATAATCTGCATGAATCTAAAATACCAAACTGGATTCATTTCATTAATGATCTGGCTTTAGACGAGCACCAAATCATCCTCCAAGAAGGGCAATTAAATTAACACAGTTTGCTGCACATTGACAGGTTTGTCGCCCAAGTTCTGTCTGATTACAGAGTCTCACAGTCGAGGACTCACACAAACTCTGTGACTGTGGGATAAGGTTGGCCCCATAAAGACATGCAGATTCATTTCCATTACAGAAATGTTAACTATGTTCTCTCTAATAAAACCAAACATAAGTTGCTTTTACACATCCTTCAAATCCAAGATATTGATCAAAAATATCCTTTTTTAAACTTTATCTAGACTTTTTCTTTCATGCACCCTTGCGAAATTCAAAGGCAGGACACAAACTAGAACAGTTTTCCCTCATGCACTTAATGAGAATTTCATCACAACTTCTGAAGGAGCAGCAAGTGTGCAAAATGCAACATTTTCAAACATTTATTTTTTTTCTTTTTATCCCCATTTTGCCCAAATTTTTGCCTCCGGTTTCCTTTTAAAATTTGAAAGCACAACATGAACATAAGTGGTGATCGCATGTCCAAAAATCCTGGAGAAGTCAAAAATCTCGGCATGAGCTGCGTGTGTAAATGCCCTGTATTTTTAACCTCAACTTTTAATCCTAACTTTTCCCAGGCTTTCCCAGTCTCTGTAAAAATTAAAAAGCGCAGAAAAAATAAAAGCTTCTTTAACACGTGAAAATCTCTAAAAATATTCTGAATTTTTATGACTGAACTGCAGGTGTGAACACCAGATTTTCACCAGAACTTGATCAGCACAACTTCTTTATCCTGACTTTACCTTGACTATTTCCCGCCAGCTCCTTTAGTTTGATGTTTGTAGTCAAAGCAAGTTATCTTGTGAATATAGCAGATACAAGTTTGGAGAATGTACTGTGAGCATGAGGGTGGGAAGATGATGTTTAACCAGATGTTCAACCTGTTCCGAATCTTTACAGCTGTTTTGGAGTTGTCCTAATACGACCCCTTGTTTTGTTCATTGCTCATTCTCCGTTTCACTCCTTTATGATGTGATTCAAACCACCAGGACAATAATAATCCAGCCTGCTTCTCCTTAACTCGGACAAACAACCCAAAAGCATAAACACAACAAACCTGACGATTAATCTGATTATTTTGGCATTTATTCCGTTTTTCCAGTCAGCCCTGAATGCATCACGCACACCTGTGTGACTGTCACCTGACGGAGGGTAAACACACCTATTCCGCGTTTTCTTCCGCGCAGATATGACCCTCCTCGGCTCATGTAAGTGTCGCTATGAAGGCCACCGTTAGTATTGTTTGAGTAAGCGTGTGCAGGACTGATCTGCTGAATGATGACAAAGCAGGGATTAATGAAAAAGGAGCTTTCACTCGGGCTGACCAAACCCCATTCAGAAATAAACCGTTTTGACGTGCTCCCCTGTCTGCTCTAAGTTTACATTTGTTGTCAGCCTGGAGCATCACGCCCTGCCTGCCTCAGCTCCCCTCGGCCTCCCTTCATCACCTCCTCCTCCTCCTCACCTCCTGTGTGGCGGCCGGCTTAGGCAGCAGGTTCTCCCCGTCCTTCAGCTCATTGGAGTCAGCGGGCTGCGGTGGAGGGTCCTGGGCTGTGTCAGCCATGCTCGCGTCGGTCCTACGGTTGATGGTGATGAAAGCTAACGGCTAGCTAACAGACACACACCGACAGACAGAGAAAACAGTCGACTGACAGGGTGAGGGAGGAGGAGGAGGAGGGGAGGGGAGTCAGGAGGTTTTCCCAGCTCTGTCATGTGACTAACAGGAGTCCTGATGGGAGCCAGAGACGAGGCGATACGATAGAGGTCTCACTCTGCTTTTTTTCCCCTGAACTTAATACAAAAGTATTGGGGGAGCTAATTCCGGAAAGCAAGACATACTTTCAACACTTGATCTCAATTACATAAACAGCCTTGTACTAAATCTGGTCCCACTTTTAGTTCTCCAATAAATCAGTTCAAACTATAAAAAACCCTATTAAAAAGTTTAAAAAATAACTATTAAAAGTGTTTTCATGTATTATTACAAAAATATAGTGATTCATCACCAGTGTGGCTGGTTCATACGTTTTTTGGCTGTGTGGATTCCCATTTGAGTTACCCTAACCCTAACCCTTTTGTTATTTGATTATTTTTTGTTGTTTATTTGTTTTTAATTCTTAAGTTGTCTGGGTGTTTTTACTGTTAGTTTCCATTGTTGTCAGAGTACAAAAGTTGTTTGAGCTCTTTGAGTAAATTTCTTCTCTTGATTAAAAAAAACTGTTTGGGTTCTTTTTATGTTTTATCAAATAACTTTGTTGTCCTCTACATGCTTGTGCAGAATCTGTTGACAAAAAAAGTCATCTTGTTGGTTTTTGTCCTTGCTTTAATACTTTTTGAAAATGTGGGTTGTTTGTAACGTTGTTAAGCTCTTAAAAGACTTAAAAGAATTGTTTTTTCAGTTAAGTTTGTGAAGGTTTTTGATTTTGTTTGGTTCTTTTGTTTGTTAAAGTGCTAAAGTGGTGTTCTGGTTGTGATGTTGGTTTGTTTCTTGGGTCTTGTTAACTTTTCTAAATTTTTAGAGTCAAAGCTCTTTTGCCATCAAGTTTTGGTCGTTGAGGTTATTTTTCTTAGTTGGGGTTTTTGTTGTTGCTGAAGTTACTTGTGTCAGCAGTATTCCCAGTTATAACTATTCTTCTTCCTATTATTAATGTTGTTTGTTTGTTTGTTTGTTTGTTTGTTTGTTTGTTTGTTTGTTTGTTTGTTTGAATCATGCTTTGTTATTCTTGTTTTCACATAAAGTTTTCATTTTCTGGATAAATTCATAATTTGGATAGTTTAAGTATATTTTCAGATGATTATTGAGTATTTTTACTGCATAGATAGTATCATTCACAATTTCTTACATTCAATATGGAGGTCAGGTATTTTCTAGCTTTTTGTTGAGCATTGTCGGTTGATTTCCTTTTAATTACTGTCATTTTTATTTCTTGTTTTTAGCACGTGTAAAATGCTATGTCCCGTGTAAATAACACCGTTAGTGTCGCGCTAATGTTGTCAATAAAGTTTTGAGAAAAAGAGACACTTCCGGTATAGATGATCTTTGTAAACACGCGCAATTCCTGCGTAGTAGGAAAGTGACTGTAAATAGAGGTGCAAAAACCACTAAAACATAGATTTAAGGTAAACTCTGAGGGATTTCTAGACTAAGACTTCTCTGCCTTTGGTAGGTGAGCGTTAACACTCCCTGTTCTGTGTGTGTGTGTGTGTAGTTTCATTAGCATGGAGGCTAACGGGCAGACCGGTACCGTGATATCAAACGGAGATCAGCAGGTGAACCACCTGAGCCCGGAGGAGGAGGGGGATCTGGAGCAGATGTTAGCAGATATGACAGTAGAAGGTAAGAGGAGTTTTATAAATGAAGCACAGCTTAATAAAATAATTTAAAGCCCCTTCTTCGCTCTGACAACACTTCAATTAGAAGGCGAAAGCTGAAGAGCTTTCAGTTCTCCAGAAATGAAACCTAGAGTTGGATCAATGTGTATTTTTTCTTTATTTGGTATCCGATTTTCCCCACGTTCACGTATTCTCACCCCTTTCTTATCTTGCAGTTTTCTCTCCACATTGTCAGTCATTTTTCTACACTTGTTTGCCTCCTTGTTTCCTTTCTTCAGACCTTGTGCAGAGGGCTCAGGCTGTGCAGACGGACAGCACCACTGTAGAGTTGAGCGTGAACACCGACCCGGACTGGGAAAGCCAGGTAGTGGCCATGTTTGAGAACAGCATCACCCTGATGGAGCAGCATGACCGTCTGATGAAGATGCAGGGCGAGGAGGAGCAGGTGAAGGCAAAGCAGAAGGTACAGCTGCAAAAGAGGAAGGAGGAGGCCACCCACCAGCACCAGGTGAGACAGAAACCCCCAAATCCACAGGTACATTCACTGATAGGACTAAACAGAAGTGCATTAAACATCAGACTGTTTTCAGGCTCTTCTGGACAAACTGGAGTCTGTGAGGGTGAAACTCCAACTGAACAACTCGAAGGCCACTAGGAAGAACTTCCTGACAAAGAAACAAGAGATGACTTTAGAGAAGAACAAGGTGGAGGAGGAGAGGAACAGGTATAGACCATTTTTAATCACATCTTGAGGATCCAAACATGGTCCCCTATGAGGAGGAGCGTTATATTCACCTGTAACCTCATCCTGTCTATCCTTCAGGTCGGCTAAAGAGTTGGAGGAGAATGAGACAAAGTTGTCGGCGCTTGCTGTGGAGCAGAATGAGGAGCAACAAAGGTGGCAGGAGGAGCTGGAGGAGCTGAGGAAGGAAATGGAGAAGCTGAGGAAGGAGGCGCAGGAAGCAGAGCTGCAGGCCTTAAAGGACGAGATCGCTGCTGTGGAGAAGCAGAGAGACGTCGCCATGGAGCACATTGAGGCGTGGCTGAAAGAGGTAACCATGGGATACCGAGGCAGAGATTTATACAGAGACAGTAAATGCGACTTCTTCAAGCCATAACAGATCCAAATAATTCAATATAACACCAACTGTAGGCAAAACAAACTGTTCATACATGCAGCCACTCTGATGTAGATCTGGTTGGATTCTTGTCTTAGGTGGCTCAGTACCTAGAGGCTCTGAGGGTGGAGTTACCGCAGCAGTACCCCCATGAGAAGCAGAAGTGGGAGAAGAAAGAGGGCTTGGTGCGGAAGAGCAAGACGGAGCTGCAGAGTCGCTTCCAGGAGGTTCTCCAGCAGCTGCAGCAGGGAAGAGAGTTAGAGTCTCTGCCCAGGATCAACGTCCCATCTCTGCCACAGGTCCCCATGGTGAGACTCGGTTAAACTCTTTGATTCATCTGAGAAACAAACTTCAGCTGTTAGTAATGGTGACTATTAACGAAGCGTTTTCTCTCCCACAGTCCGAACTGAGATTTAATCAGATGATGCAGCCTCTTCTTCGTCCTCAGTTCATGCCCCCGCCTCCTCCACACCACATGAGCCGGCCTTTCCTTCCACAGAGACACCCACACTTTTACCACCAGCCCCCCCCACACCCTCAGTACCGTCACCGCTTCCACCAGTCACCACCCCCACACCATTTCCAGCTGCCGCTTCCTCCACAGCACTACCAGCCCCACATCAGAGCTCCAATGAGAGTTACTCTCCCTCCCAGTCACTCCCCCAGCCCTCCCCATGTTCAGCCAGTCCACCCTGTAGCTCCCTCCCCGCCTCCCCTTGCACCATCTCCTGCTCTTTCATCTTCCCCATCTCCTTCTCCTTCTCCTGTTCCTGCCACTGCTGCTGCTTCCACCAATGCCTCTGCTGGAAAACTGGACAAAGTCCTGGAGAAGCTTGGCACTCGTTTCCCACAATGCAACAGAGCTCAGCTGACATCCCTGCTCCAGCAGGTGAAGAACTCCCGTGGCACGCTGGCCGGCATGTCCATGGAGGAGGTCATGGAGCAGGTAGGCCTGAAGCTGGCCCAGAGCGAGAGGACAACTCCTGGGCCAATCAGCCGGCCCACTGCACCTGGCCCCATCCAGAGACCTGCAGCTCCTCCACATGGAGCAGCAGGTGGAGCAGGAGGAGGTCAGAGCAGCGAGCCCCGCAAACTCTGCCTGATGTGTCAGAGCCCTGTGGATCCAGAGCACCGCCACCCGCTCAGCTGCGCCCATGTCATCCACAGAGACTGCATCAAGGTGTGGCTGCATTCCAGCAAAAACAACTCCTGCCCCTTCTGCCAGGCTAAGTGACGGAGGAGCTTCAAATACTTGGACTCTGAGCGCTGCTGGTTCAAAATTACTCTGGTTTGTTCAAAATGGTGAAAAGAGCTGATGGTCATGTTTCAGTATAATTCAGTGAAAACACAGTAACATCCTAAATTAGCCTGTGTCTCTTTAAAACAACAACCTTTATTGAGATATTTTAGTAAAAATGTAGATTCTAAACACGAACGAGCAGATTCTTGTTTGAGTGGCGTTCTGATTTTAGTCCAAGTGGTACTGACCAATCAGAAGGCTTTGGTGTCTGCAGCTGGTATGGGGAGCAAAATCAGACGGGACGCAATCCACTTTATGATTCGGGTTAACATCAGCTGTATTCTGGTAAATGATGGTGCATGCAAGGTCAGCTTATAATTGGCTCAATCAAACATTTTCATTTGAACAAGAACTGTTTCAAAAACAAATCAGTATTAAGATTACCTGACCCCACTGAATGCATCAGAGATGAAGGATCTAACCAACATTTTAAAAATGTGTTGTCTTCGCTTGAGGACAGACCTGACAAATCTTGACTTTTTTTATGATGATTTTACAGGAAGCTTCTGACCTGATAAGTTTTCTAAATCCATCTTTTTCAGACTCTTGCTGCAGGAGTGAAGCTTCTGTGTAACTATTGACAGTGAAATTGAGACTAGCTAGAAACAGGTTAACAGGCGATCCTCAAGGGAACATAATGAGACAATATTGTGATGAGACATTCATTTTACAAACATATCAAGTGACACACATCAGTTACAGAGGTTTTGGCTTTTGTTCAGTCAGATATGGATGCCAGATTTAGCTAAGGAGTTCTGCTGTTGGAAAGAATTAACAGATATTGATACCAAAGTCTGAGTTTGTACCAAGAAGAAAAGCCTTAGTGTTCATTAATATACCAATGTGTTTTTTTCTATTCTGTTTTTATTGTTCATCAAGAATGACACCAAAACAATAAATTTATAAACATATAACTGTGTGTGTGTGTGTGTGTGTGTGTGTGTGTGTGTGTGTGTGTAAATGCAGGGTGCTTGTATTTTTAAAGAGCTTTCAAATAATATTTTTATCACAACTGCTGAATTTCAAGTAAAAAAAATCAATGAGACATTAAATGAATGTCAATGAAATGTGCTCCACTGGTTTGAAAGATTAGGGTCACATTGTAGGAAGGAGAGTGAAGTCAAAAAAAAAAGTTTTAGTGTCATTGAGATCCATTCATAATTCAGGAGTAAAGTCAAATTCTTAACATTAACAAAATCATCAAATTAATTAACAAAGAGATAAAGTGGTAATGTCCTAATAATAAATTCATAAAAATATTAAAGTTGTAGTATTTTAGTCTTAAAGTCATATTACAAAGGACATGAGGTCCGAAGACTGAGAACTTCAGATACTCCATCTTCCTTATGTTTCAGCAAAGTTCTCATCTAGTCACCTCATCAGAAAAACAGTGATTTACTGTAATCCATTACAAAACACTATCATCATAACATTACTGCTTACTTCTGGTAAAATTATGACTTCAATTTTGAGATCTTTTTTGTGATCATTTTTTTTTTATTCAAAAAATGTACAAAATACATGTTTACATCATTTACAGTTTTGTTCCCCTCCCCACCACACAGTAAAAACTATGGAAGAGGATTAGGGCCACTGGGGGGGGAAAAAGGTCCAAAATATTTTTTTATTATTCTAAGAAAAAAATCAGATTTCTTACTCAGAATTCTGACTTCTCTCGGAGGCCATCTGACGCATCCACAATGGAGAGTCCATGTCCTACATTTTTTGCAACATAGGAGTGGATGACTGACTAGAATTTGATATTTAAATGGAAGGACTTGTGTAACATTTGTAGTTGAAAATTCACCCTTTCATGCATCTGAAGTTTTTGATTTGAAAAGGCAAATGTCATGTGAGTTTGTCAGTCGTCCACTCCTGTGTTTGAAGCAGGTAAGACATGGACTCTCCAGTGTGGATGCCAAGGATAGCCTCTGAAAGAATCATGCTTATGTTCACTGTTTTAATCTTGGGAGAAAAAAGTCAGAATTTTGACTCTTGGATAAAAACTCTTGTGTGATTATGCCATTTACAATCTGTGCCAACACGCTTCATTACAGTATGATAAGATGTGAGTAGAAATGAAATAACAGGGCCTAAATGTAGTTTGGCTTTTTTCAATGGTATGGTAGCATACACAAAGTCTAGCAACCTGTGAGGTAGTGCAAGGTTCTCCTCAATTGGTCTCCGAGAAACAGAGGTCCTAGGGTTGAGCCATGTAGAAAGAGGGCGTAGCAACTAAGACCAGAAATAGATTTTACAGTCTGGCAGAGCTAGCCCCCCTTGAGTCTTCCCCTGATGGAGAGTTGTGAGTTTTAGGCATGGTCTCCTTCCTTTCCATATGAATTTAGAAACTAATGAGTGAAGTTTATCCCAATAATAACTATTGCCATTCAGGCTTGAAGTGAATTTGGGAGATTCCACCGGTGTTCAAAGTCTTTCTCTATCTGTTTGTATATGACTGAAAAAAATTTTTTGCAGTGGATGACGTGGAGGGAAAAATGCCAACTCCAAGACATCTAAAGCCGTTAACTATTGATGTATGGGAGGGCAGAGGAATTGGAAGTGTGGCTAAGTTTAAATCCTTAAGTGCTGACTTTGTCCAAGGAAACGAGGAAAGAAAATGTGGGATTGAGGAATCATTACAACCTACATAAAGAAGGGTGTCATCAGTGTGTAAGGAAGTGCAATGCTCTGTGTTAAGAGAAAGTAATGAGATGTACTAATGGATGTTGTCTGGATGTCAGCTCTAAGGAAAGAGCAAAAAGTAGGGGTGAAAGGGGGCAGCCCTGGCGAATGCCCCTTGTTATTGGGAACTGAGCAGAGCAGACGTGGCCTGTGCAGACTATTTCTGAAGGATTTGCATTTAAAACCTTAATCATACTAATAAAATGTAAACCTTGCCCAAATTTGTCTAATGTTGTCCAGAAGTTTTCCCAGTCAGACACTTTTTCAGCATCCAATGACAGAACCAATCAAGGGGGATCAATACTACTAGCTGCATGAATGATGTGTAACAGGTGACACACATTATCAGATGCTAGGCGAATTCAAATAAAACCAGTTGGTTGTTGTGTTTAAGTTTTGTAAGATGTATCTCCAACCGGGTTGTGAGTACTTTAGGCATATAGTTTAACATCCCAATCCAAGGGGGAATGAGGTCTATAATTGTCACATTTAGTTAAATCTCACTGCAGCAGCTTCACTACAGAGTGCCAGAAGGAACAAAATAGCACAAGACTGAAATAAGAAATAGAAGTGTTTAATTAAATCACAATTAGTGGTTCGACACAGACGGCTCGGCTCTAACAAATCATCCAATAAGTCATCTGTTTTATATCAATAGAGGCGCCCACTGCTGGACATTTTTAAAAACGCAGGTTTGAGGCGCTTATGAATTTGTTTCACTTAAGAGAAGGGGTGGGCAATCATGTGCCATGGAGGGCAGAGAGGCTGCAGGTTTTCTTTCCAACCCAAAACTCCACCAGGTGATTTCACTGATTAGTCCCTGCTCTCTGCTTGGAGGTAAGGTAATCAGTGAAATCACCTGGTACAGTTTCGGGTTGGAAAGAAAACCTGCAGCCTCTCTGCCCTCCATGGCACGTAATTGCCCACCCCTGCTTTAGAGACATCAAATGAGGAGGTTTTTTTTTTTTTTCTGGGAAATAAAGTGTTTCATCTTTTTATAATTCTCATTAAGGCCCTGGCTGTCCTTTGTTTCACTGACAGTATACACTTCACCATGAACTCACAAACAAACACTCAGGATGGAGGAAATATTGGGCTGTAAACACTAAGAAACAACCTCTTGCCTTATAAAGATCCCCTCAAATACACAGTCTCACACTCTCCCCATGGACATCCCAGTCAGCCTTAATGGGAGTGCTGGGCGGTCGATGGTGGAGGTTAAAGGAGCCGTCGCTCCCCAATAAATATCAAAACACTCATACACTGCAGAGTGCTGAAAATGTGTCTATCTGCAGCCCTGTGTGTGTTTGCTGTTTACAGCCTGAGCGTCCATGTGTCCTCTAACAAACTCTCTCTCTCTCTCTTTCTGTCTCTCTCTCCTCCAGTTTAAAGGTTAGTCTCTCAGAGTGATTTTACAGGCAGCGGTGCCAATAAAAGCTGCTGCTCTCCCAGTAAAGCTGCTGTAATGAATGAAGAAGCTGCAGAAAATAAAGACAAAACACAGCTGAGGGCAGGTGGGGAGGTTTGGAATCACAGAGACTCTGTGAGAAGAAACAAACTATTACCTAATAAAAATAGAACTTGCAACATATGTACTATTTTATCCCCTACAATACAGCACATGAAAAATCGTGTTTTCTAGCATGCCACACTGTTATTTTATTCCTTTACCATGAATTACCTCCACTTTTTTTTAACCATGCAACCCCTATACTTTTTGTTCCTAATTTTCTAACACTAGCTGTCCTGTCCCATGCAACATCTTTCATATCAAAACCAACTATCCTGTTAACTTCCTTCTCTATCATGTTCCACATATTGAAGCAAATGTCTTACATCTTGTTGCTTCAGGTAAAGCACCTGCTTTACTTTGTTCTGTAATGCGCGAAACATCTTGTCCATTACCATGAAACACTTGCCCTTTCCTGTGCCTTATGCTGCAACACCTTTACTATCTTGTTCCCTGCATTGTGTCGTTATTACTACCCTGTTACCTTTTATTGTAACATCAACACTATCCCGTGTGTCATCAGAACTATCTTTTTCTCCATCTTGTGTTACTGTCAGTATTTTCTCCCTGCATTGTCCTGTTTTTGCTGTGAACTTCGTGTTTCAGTCGCTGCAGTTTTACCTCCTCAGGTTCTCGTTAAAGATGGTCTGTTTGGGTTTAAACTAGTTTTCTCCACTCTGCAGCCTCACTGTAGTGTGTGTTTGTATTTGTTTGTTGAGAGAGAGAGGGGGGTTATAGATCCAGTGGATGGCGTCTCAGGGGTCAGGGGTATTAGTGATGGTCTGCTGTGTCTCCAGTGGATCCTGTGACAGCTCTAATGTCGGTGTGATTTACAGACCGCCGGACAAACAAGCATCATTACCGCAGCCTGTAAACGTGGGCCCGACCCACTGCTCCAAAAGTGGGGTCTGGGGACCCTCAGGGGCCCCTAAGAGGCTCCTGGGGGACCCCTCAGCGAAATGGGGGAGTTTTATTTGACTATTATTTCATTGAAAAGGAAGGGGGAATGAGCGATCAGAGGTTTGAGGCTCTCCTGACGTCCACTTTTGAAGAAATAACAGACTTCGGTGAATCCTCTTTAAACAAACTTTTATGTCACGGTCCAAGCTGCTGTTTATCACATTTATTTAAAGGACAAGTCCCACCAAATCTCTCATTCTTGCCTGACAGAGGATTTCAGCAGCTGAACACTTTAGGGTCTCCTTTGGTTATACTTTCTGTTTCTCAATGCTCCAGAAGTCAGGACTGCACTAGTCCACTTTCTCAGCAGGACTCTTCTTCTACAGATCCATGCTGTTGTAGTCCATGTTGTCAGAATGTGGTTTGTCATTGTCCTCTTGAAATATGAAAGTCTTCCCTGAAAAATTCTTAGTCTGGATGTCAGCAGATATTCCTGCCAAACCTGTAGATATTGTTCAGCATCAATGGAGCCTTCACAGATGTGGAAGATACCCATGAAATTAAACTGGGAGCTGAGAACAAGCCAGGTGGACCCTCTACCCTATGGAGGGGAGGATAAGACCAAAAAAAATTTAGATTCACAAGACCTCAAGACAGTGTAAGTCAGTCCACCTTAAGTGGACTTGGGCCCTGAAAAATATTTGGGTCATGTTTACATATGTTTTCCTCATTGTATGGTGGTTTTAGGAGGTCACTTTGAGTCCATGCAGTAATTTCAACTTCAGAGTCCTGTTTGTTTTTAATGCAGTGCTGCCTGATGGTCTGAAGATCAGGACCATCCAGTCTTGGTTTTAGTCCTTGTCCCTTTAATACAGAGATTTCTTCAGGTTCTCTGAATCTTTGAATGATATTATGTTCTGTAGATGACGAAATGTTGAACTCATTCTTTTACATTCGACACTCAGGAACATTATTCTGAAACTGGTGAACTATTAGCTCACACAGTCTCTCACAGAGTTCTAAACTATTGTTGTTAAGAAGTAAAAGTTTTACATGCAGGAACTTTTACATTTGAAAATCATGTCAGGTCAATCTCTGGTGCTTTAAAAAGGTCTGTAAAGAAATAAATCACTAACACTAAAAATGATGTGAGACACAAGGGGAGAAAGGGTTAAAGTTAATTAAAAGTTCATTTCAGGAAAAAAAAAAAAAACTTAGCTTTTGTGAAGAAAAAAAAAAAAACTTCAGACAGTCAGACAGTCATAAACGCTCTTCTTCTTCCTCCTCCTCCTCCTCCTCTTTCTCTATGGGGTCTCTCAGAGACAAACTGAGCCCTTTATCCTCAAACTAAAATAAGACTCATTTTCCTGCAGGTTGTTCATGATGTGTTCTCACAGTGTGTCGGTCCTTAGGGGACAAACAGTCTGAAGGCCGAACAAACACTTTAACAAGGCGCCGCCGCTGTTTCCATGCTCAGAATCAACAAATCGACTGCATGACACAAGAGCTAAATGCCAAACGGCTGCTAGAGAGCAAAACTGCTACTGCTGCTGGGGGTCTGTTTGTTTCTACTGCTGCTGCAGGTTTGACACTGCAATGCTTCCCCCTGCTGGTCCTGCACAAGTACTACGGAGGCAGAGGAACTAATCAGTTGGTACCTCTCTGATCAGGATAACTAAGACCAAATGATCTAACAATTCAGAAAGAGGAATTAAAGCTTCCCCACTAAGTCGTTTAGATCTTTGAATTAAAATCTTAAACAATATTACGTCATAACCCTAATTACTAATATGAGTTGGGCTAAAATGTGTGAATTCTATCCGTACTAACTGGAAATAGTGCCAATCTAACACAACAAACATGGGCATAATTTTTTTTTATCATTTAATCAAAAACCTAATAAAAAAAAACTCTTTACATTTAAAATTTTATGCCACCAACAGGTTTGAAAATGTCTTCATTTTCAAACCTGTTGGTTGGTGAGTCATAATTTTGAGAGAAAAAAAATCAATAAAATCACACAGATCTAAAGTCATGATTATAAGATAAAGATAAACTTTTATTCTGCCAGGCACCTTGTGATTCAGACTTTTCGTTTCATTTCTATCACTATATTATAATCATGTCTTTTTTTCTTTGTGTTGACTTTTTATCTCTTATTCATGCCTTACTATCTCACTTTATCAACTTCTTTTCTCACAATAATCTGTCATTTTTCATTAGTCAAGTCTCTAATTCTACCTCTTTTTATCCATCTGGCAGAAAAGGACTTCCCTTCGTCAGTCATTAAAACTTCAAAAGAGCAAATAAAAAAACTTATTTCCTCTTATTTAGAGGAATCACTCTGATATTATACAGCAGCATCAAACACTTTTTTTAAAAGCGATTGTTAAGTCAGCAGATTTGCACTCTCTGTAAGCCTTGTGGAAAACAACATTTTTGTGGATTAACTGTAAAACTGGAGGCCAAAATAAAGATATTGTGTATTTATGAGCACACAGACACCTCAGCCAGCCCTGAGCCTGAGTTGGGCCCTCCTGTTTAAAATATCTGGTCACACCCTTGATAAGACGTTAATATAAATATTTATGAGCAGCTAAAATAAAAATCTACAGTATTTATACAGAACAGAAACTTTTCAATTCTTCCCGTTGCTTTATTTTCTGACTTTCAAGGCTTTCATCAGCAGAGGCGTGGTTTTACTCCAGTTGTAACAGATGTTCTTTTTCCTCCTCAGCCCTCTAATGTCTCTGAATATTGATGTGATTGTTAAAACTGTCAATATCTCTGCTGCATTATAAATACTGTTTATAACTCAAACCCTAACAGGCTGAACAAAAAGCAGGTCTGAGACCTGTTAGTGTGATAAATCACTGCACGCTCACTTTCCTCTCACTGATATTCACTCAATTCAATCATTCAGTCAAACTTTATTTAAACCCCAGAGATCATTGAAGACCAACCTCTGTTTACAGCAACTATGAGCAACATTTTTAAAAGATAAAGAAGAGAAGAACAGATAAATCATTTGTTCAAATGTCTATGTTCAAAAGTGTGTGAGAAATAGCCTTCAAACCTGCAGGTTTGGGGGTTTCAGAGTGCAAATGTACAAATCAGGTAATGAATCCTCACTTGTCCTGTTCTGCATGTTTGTTCAGCCTTTATCCCAGCATGAAAACAACACCTCTGTGCATGTTCAAGATGCTTTAAGATGAATCCACATCAAACTGCTGCTGAGCTTTCTGATGAAACACATGTTAATCAAATCTATCTGCAATCCTCCGGCTTGTAAACGACACTGGCGTGTTGATGTTCACTTTTCTTTCTCCGTGTCATGAATTTAGTTCACTTCACATATGAGATTCAAAGAGAGCAAAAAATACAACACGTTAGCATTACAATCAGCTTTCAGGTCTTTGACTGGCTCTTCATTCTCACCGTCTTGAGCCTTCTTCAGTTTGCCCTGGTGAGACCTCTTCTCTGATTAGACAAAAAGACCAAACCTGAGTCTGATGTCATCTGATTACCACACCAAAGCTCAGCGGACTGTCAAAAAACAACAACATGCTTCTGCTCCACCGTCTTTATCATTCTCTTAAATTGGATGAGTTACTAAAGTGTCCCGTCAGGTCCCATAAGTCCTCACATAAGTCCTCTCAGTATGAGTTTGAAAACATTTCAAACTAACTTTATGTTTGAAATCACCAAGTTATATCAAGTGACTTTCAAGTGGAAACAGGCCCATTAGGTTTTGCAGATGCATGCAGTTTCCTCCTGTTTTGCAGCTGATTGTGGAAACGAGCTGTTAGCATCTCCACTTTGCTGCTGTGTGGATTTAAACTGATTTAGTTTCTGATTACGACGATTACAGTAATTACATACTAATATTGACAGATTGGTGCACAGGAATGTCATTTTTAAGTCCTCCAGCAATAGAATCATTCTCTTGTTCACTAATACGTTTGAGTGACATCGCTTATTAAGACACAACAGCAAACTTTCCACCAACTCTCAGCAGACGGTAAAAACTCTGAGTTAGATGTGTTTTACAAGGAGTTTCATTGTTGCTCCTTGTTGCTCTCCCTGTGTGTCTCCTAGTTAAGGCTGAAATGCAAATGTGGACTCTGATCAGTATGTAAATGGCGGCCCGTGTCGTCTGCAGGCCGCCGTGGAAGACGAATGGTGTTTATCAGGGAGATGCTTTGACCAGGACGCCGTCTAATTAGCTTTTTTCTTAAAGGTTGTATTTATTAGTATCCATCATTGCTGGTGTTACATCAATTAATGCTGTTGACGGTTGGAGGAAGTGTCACCCTCCTCCTCTCCTCCCCCTCTCCTCCTTCCTCCATCCTTCACAGGCAGAAGAACCTCCTCTCCTCTCTTTGGCATTAAAGGCCTGTCATCCCAGCATGCTGCGGGGCCCCCGGCCCCAGCCCAGTGGTGTCAATTAAATTTGATTGACTGAGTAAAAGAAGCACACAAATAAGCCCAAACAACAGACACAAAAATCTATACATGACTCCTCCATCCCCCTGCAAACACCTCCACCCTCCACCCTCCGCCCGCCTGTCAAATCAAATGCTTGTCTCGTCTGTTTTCGTGGCGTGTGCCGAAGACGTCCACTGTGAGACAACAGCTTCAGTGTGTGAGAGAGCGTCAGGGCCGCTCATACCATCCACCCTGCCCGCCCACCTGCCCCCTTTAAACACCACCGCCCCCCCATAACAAACACCCCTCCCTCCATCCATACAGAGCGAACCAATTAGCGGCTCTAGAGCTCCGTCCAGGCTGCAGAGCGGAGGCCCCTGGGTATCGACTCAAACTGTTGTCCAATAAATGAGGTCTAATTTATCAGTTTAACTTCACCCCCCTCCTGTAAGAGAGAGAGAGAGAGAGAGAGAGAGGGAGAGAGAGAGAGAGAGAGGAGAAACAAATCGTTGCTGTTTTTTGCTACATGAACTGGCGAGGACTCTCTGCTGATAAATCCTGCCTTCGCCACATTTCCCCTCCTCTTGTCTCTCTGAGCTGTTTTGCTAATTGTGATTCGTTGAGCTCATGTTTCATATTCGCAGTGATGATTGAGGGACGCCATTAGAGCAGACCCCATTAGGCTCCGTGGGGAAACAGCCGACTCTGCGTGGGAACCATCAAAGGCCAATTTGCTACCCAAACACCATAAATCCTGCCCTGTTAAGTGACTGTTTTTGATGCTGCTGAAGCGCCTGTAAATAAATATACGCTCCGTTATGTATTCCATTAAATTACCAGAGAGCACAATTCACATACCACATCCATCTCCATCAGAGGTGGTCAAAAGTGGGGTCCAGGGACCTACAGTGGGTCACATTAGGACCCTTCGACATCTGTTACAAGGATTAGTGACATGAGGATGTTTCAGTTGTCACTGGGAGACATTTGAGTTTATAAAACTTCATCACTTGTAGCTCCTCATTAAATATCTTACCTCTGATTTTTAAATGATCTTCTTGTAAGGGAGTCAGACAAGCTTCCACTCCAACAAGGACAACAGCCTCTGAGACCACCAGGCTCTAGGTGCTCTGTTCTTGTTTTGCTTGAAACACAAGAAATGGATTTAGCTTCTTGTTTCGACGGTTTTTTAGACTTGTATTTACCCTATTGGCCAGCAGGGGGGTCCCCTTTTGTCCGCAACAAAGTCTAATTTGAAAGAAGCCCAAAGGCACCTACTTACTCCCATTTCAAGGTGGGGTCTCTGCACTGTTACACCTCATCTGAAACGTGTGACCAATTGGGCAATCTCCAGTCATGAGAAATTAAACTGATATGAAAAGTGCAGTTCCCTGAGTGTCCACTAGAGGCTGGCTGCAGGAGCACCAGGAACCACACACACACACACATACACAGTCATTCAAGGACAGTTTTGGTCTGAAAAGCCTGGGGCTCCCACAGGACACACCGAACAGGAAGTGAAGAAAATAAGGTGATGAGTTTGTCTAATTAGAGCCACGGTTGACTCGACTAACAGGCAGACACACTGTAGCTGTTTGCGGGGAGGCTTAGAGGCTCGCCTCTGGTAGGTTCATGTCAGCTTTACTGATATGATAAGCGCCACCAAGAGGCTTCGAGACCCCACTTCACAAACCGAAACATGAGCAGTGTGAGGCAGCAGGCTGTATCCCCCTTTAACTAAATCAAGTTTTGACTGCAAATAAACACATATTATCTAGAGATCATTTACTGAAGTCAAGACCCATATCTTGTTTATAATGTGGATTCAGATTTTTTTTTATCTATACTGTAAAACAAAAACAAAGTGCAATGTTTTTTCTCACAAAAAGTTGGAGTTTATTTATTTTTTTCCTCTCATCTTGATGGAGTGGTTACAATGAAGACACTTCAAAATGAAAAACAGCCTTTCAAAAACAATCTCATAAACATGATAAACCTACAGAATGAACACTGATCGGGCAAGGAGGTGAATTTTGAGACAGCAGAGGCGGAAAGTTTACCTGACACTCTGACAGAGACAGAAATCCTCCTGAAAACACTTTGAGTTTGTAGTTTTATAATCACCTTCAAAGATATTTAACACACCTGACTTTTTTAAAAGGTTTGATCTTTGTATTAAGCTGATTGAAATGTACTAAAAACCAAATATAATCCGTCTTCTCTGGCACAAACAGCTTGAACTGCACATTCCCAGAAGACACTAAAATGTCAGACTGCTCCTTTATTAAATCAGCCTCTGCAGACTGGACACAGCCAGGTAAATCCTCTCAGACTCCACAACCTCAAAAACATCCACAGTCATCACTCAGACTTTGAAACAGGGAGTGTGTCAACTCTTAAAGTGGTAAACAGAAGACAGTTTCATGTGAACCACATGAGTAATCTGGTAATCTGTGAACTAATCCTCCACAGGTTAGGATCACATCAGTTCTGCTACATTCAGATTTCTATCAATGTAAACATGCATCAAAAACACAGAGGAAAGGGTCAATAACCCAGAGCTGAAAGTAGAAGAGTGAAGGCTGTAATCAGATTTCTGATAAGACAGTTTTTATACATACCACAGACGGGAAGACTTTGAAAAGAGACATCTGCGAGGGTTGTCTTTGTTTACTTGAAACTTAGAAACAACGACTCAGATAATCTTAGAATAACTTTTCAGTCACTGTTAAATTTCCGTAAAGGTTGGAAGTTGGTTCATTTAACAACTCTGAGCGAGAGTAAATGGTCAAAACTTGTGGACGGTCAAAGCCTGGCCCTTTACATTAATGTTGGTGCCACCACTGACATATTTTCCATTACGAATACGTCAAAAAAAAAAAAAAAAAAAACTTAACACAGAACTGTTAAAATGACAAAAATGATAAATTATAAGATGTAATGAACCCTGCAGCCTCTAGATGGTGCTGTTGTGGTTTAATGTTTTTTTTTTTCCACTATTGACAGCCTGAAGAAATCACAGAAGTAGACTCTAAGTTTCTTTTTTTTTCTGTGCGAATACTGATGGAAAATGTCTGTTTCTGTGGTGAGGTTGAATCTTTTTTCTTGTATTTCAAATCCCTCAACACTGAGAGGTGGATACAGTCAAATAAAGTATGTAATCTGCAGTATTGTTTTTTTTTTGTTTTGTTTTGTTTTTTTACATATGCACAAAACCCTAACACTTCCCTAAATTTCAGGGTCTGCTAATATGAACACAAACAGATGATTCTTTTCTCTCTGACTTTGTCTGGATTTTTCCTGCCAGACTCCTGGTCAAATTCCTGCATGAATTTGGGATAAGCCGAGGGAGCAGGCAGGCGTTATGGGGTTGATATTATCGGACAGGTGCAGATCAAGAAAAACAGTCATGTGATTGATATAAACATCTATGGTTATAGAAGTAGAATTATTTCAAAGATGAGAACAGTGACAATGTCTGCGCATTTGTTGGGTTACATTTCTGAAGCTTTGTCCTTAATCATTCAATGTCATGTCCTGCCATTACAGACTCACCCACTGCCCTCTTTGTTAAACAAAGAAGACTTGACCATGTATGGGAGGCAACTTAAACACATGGGTTCATGGGTGTAAACCTTAAAATAGGCTGAACGAAGAGCCGTAAAAACCTTCAGTTTTAGTGATTTTTATCTGTAGTACCCCCGGGCCTCCTCTGCTGCAGTTGTTTTTGCTCCTTTTCAATGCAAACGCAGATCCAAAGTACCAAATTTCACCAAACTCTGGATCAGAGAGTCACATTACAGCCTGACTCTCCCATTTACAGTTTTCTTAACACTGGCTTAAATCTCTGGACTGGCAGTTTTTGATGCTTTTCTCTCTTTTCATTCATATAACTAGCCTGATTGTAGAAGGTGCATCCTCTGACATCTCGTCTCATCTCACAACATCAGTCTACTTCATACCAAAAATACTGCATAGATAACCACAGAAATAATAACAATAAAAAAAAACTAAAATAAGAGATAAAAAATTAAATACCCCTACATATACAGTGGTTTTAAAAGTGTTTTAAAGTTGTGCTGGTGCACGTTAGCAACGTGCGTGATTGTAACCACAGTTTTTAAAATAATACGAGTGTGCATTAACATAAATACTAACATTTCTTCTTTACACAGTGACAGAGTGGCAAAAAAAGAGAGAGAAACCTTTACGACAGATTTCGTTTGAGAAGAGTTTTTGGTGAATATTCTGGAGTAAACGTCCATGACGAAGCTACAAATGTATGAGAAGTTTGTTTTTCTGAGATGTGATGTTTCTGCAGGATGATAAAAACTCAAACTTCCTTCATTCTGTTAAAAAAATTCATTAATCACAAGCTTGTCTCTCTAAACTTTGTCGTGATTGTTTTTCTTAAAAAACACAAAAATACAGTTTGACCGACAGAAAAGCTGAAACAGTTTCTGTTTCCATCTTTTGATCCTTAAACATGATCCAAACCACTTACAAGTCAAATGTTTGAGGCAAAGAACATGAGAAATGTAACAGTGAAGTTATTTAAAAAAACTAAATGTAAGAGTAAAAGAGCAGAAATGAAAGGTAATACTGTCAGGTAATGTTGACATGTTGAAGTGCTAAAAAAGTGCTGAAAACAAAAGTTGTGTGGACCTGGAGTGTGCAGGTTTTTACCCATCAAACTGACAGGGTTGATCTGAAGGAAGGTGAACTCTGCATGTGTGTGCTCTGTCCTGTCAATCAGTACATTTCTCGTGTTCCCCTCCTCTTACATCTTCCTCTGTCTCTAATTTTGTGCTCTCTGACCTCAGTAGGCACTGGCTGGTTGGTGGGTTTGTTGGTTAAACATTACTGGTTCTGCTCTTGCCCTTGGCTCCGCCCCCTGGGCTACCTTTACTTTCTGACTTCCTGCCAGGTGAGCTCTGACATGTCGACAGTTTGACAGCAGAGCCTGACTGAGCTCCACTGTTGTTGTTGTGGTTTGTGTTCCCGCTCAGCGTCTCCATGATGGAGCGAAACGCCCCGAATGGTCGCTTGCTCTCAGAGCTACCAGTTGGAGTCCTTTCCTTCCCATGATGCCCTTTGGCCTGCTCTGCCTCCTGATTGGAGCTCTTATGCACCTGCTCGTCAAAGGTGACCCTCAGTTTAAGGTTTTGAGACGTCTTCCTGCGGGATGAGGGTGACTTCAGGGCGCTCTTGGGACTTGTGGCGACCTTCTGACCATTGGCATCGTGGAGGTCGGTGGAAGCGTCCGCTGTTTTGGCCTCTGTTGCCTCAGGGTCGCTGGAGGTGGGGGAGGCATTATAACCAATGCTGTCCACTGACTTTGACCCGCTGAGAGAAAACGCCAGCTTCCTCTCAGCGGTTGAAGATGAGGCAGAGGAGGGCAGGTGCTTCCTCATCATCAGGTTAAGGTGGTTAGACGCCGGCTCCTCCTCTGTAATTGGCAGGTGGGACGGCCTATCAGGTCGCTGAGAGTTTGCAGCTCCTTGGTTTTTGCCCTCCTCTGGGGGGTAACCGTCTGTGTCTGATTCACTCAGAGAGCGCTGCATGATCTGCTTCAGTCTCGCCAGTTTCAGCTCTCTCCTCTCCACCAGCCCTGGCCTGCGGGCTCCAGGGGCCCCAGGGCCACAGGGGCCATCTCTGCTGAGGCCACCTGCAGGAGGGAGCCTCTCCCTGGGACACAGAGAGTCCGACATGTCCTTCCCCAACAGCTGTCGCAACACCGAGTCCGGACCCGCGCCTCCCTGACGAACCATCCAGTGACCATCACCGGGAGTCCCCTCTGCTGTCAACAACATCTCCGGCCATGCTTCCACCGGGGGCTGATGGGAACTGGTGTCCAGAGAGGGAGACAGAAATCAGCATTTGTGAATTTCCCAGTTTCTTTTCCACAAAAATGTTTTTTTATTCTACCAACTAAACACAACAACACAGTATACTGTATAAATCTGAGCCTCCAAGTTTTCCACCTACAGTCAAGAAAACTGAGAGCTGCTTCAGCAGGTAAAAACTCTCTTTCAAACTTCTATAAATGCTGTTGATAAATTTCTCGAAGCAGCCGCCACTGCTGCTCAGATCTTCAGCTCTGAATCAAGTTCTCCTCTGAGGACAACAGTCTCTGATCTTTGTGGTACATAGGCTGTGTCTCAATCCAGGGTCTGCACACTGCCGACTGCACTGCCCTTTGTTTGTACCCTGAGTACCCTGGGTAAGGTGGATCAGCTTTTGTGAATTGGGACAGTCTACCCTCCTGAGGAAACCAGAGGAGAGTTGTTAAAATTAGGGCCATGAAGCATTTGAAGGAACTGTGCTTCAGTACAGGTTTCACAAAAAAGGAAATACTTCATCCTCTGGCACATCAGCATTACATTGTCACAAGTATGAAGACTTTAAAAAGAATTTCTGAGAAATACGTCTTTTACACAGAAAAAAACTAAACAAAAAAAAAAAACAGGTGTACTTGGAGGAAATTTATGCTTTTGTGGAGGCAGAAATGAATATGCTGAGGATATATCTGTTTATGCAGCCACAAATATCCATGAATGACATTGGGCTTTAGTGCATGATCCATATGCCACTATAAGGTGTTGGTGTCTCTGCAGGTGGAGGTTACTGCAGGTGCCAGAGACATGGTGCACATCAGAGCCCAACTCCCTCTGGATCACAAATGTTGATCATCAGTTGGATTGTTTCTTCAGAAACCACAAAATCTCTCTGAATGACCCGCTGATACATCCACCAATAACCCTGGAGATGACCAGCTTCAGTCATTTCCCCCTCCACAAAAGCAGCTTTTTGACTTTATTTACTTTATGACTTTATTCTCCTAAATCTACAGCTTTAATCTCCAAGTCTTTAAAAAAAATTCTCAATGTGGCCCTGATACTCTGCTGTAGTTTTGTCAGCTTTCTTATTTTTAATGTTTTTGATTGTGGTAGCAGAGCGGATCAGTTCTTTTCTAAAGACTATAATGTTTGGTTTGCAGATTTTAGTGGGTTAAGAAATCGTGCGCTCATAGAGCCTGAGCTGACCGTCTTGTGTTTTTGGATTTCTTTTATTTTCTTTGAAGAGGCGCTGCGTCTCCAAGCGAGTCTGACGTCTCACCTGAAATGCCCCCCTTGCAGCAGCACGCAAAGAATTCTGGGAATTCCAAGGCCACAAAGTGTGCATAAATGCACACTTGAAAAAGGGGCGGGGGCAGGGTGGTTATGGGACCGGATTTTCAGGGCACTCAGAATCACAAGCCAAACGGGAAACCCTAAGCGCCGCGTGATGATGTCACGCACACTGAAAATCTGCACTACTGGTATGCAGACCCTGAATTGAGACACAGCCTTATGGGCAAAACCCACAGGGTCTGGAACGGCTCCGCTCCGGCATGGCCGGCGGATCAAATCCGCAAGCATTGTAATCAATGTGAGTCATTCCACAGAATCTGTCCGGCGTCCGGCTCCGCTGCGGATCAGCTCCGGCGGCCGGGTCAGATAGGCAAGGCTTCTATTTTTGCCAGACGCCAGAGCACAGTGCATCAATTCAGTGCAGCGCAGCACAAGCAGGAGAGGAAGTTTTATGCGGCTACAGTGCAAAATACTCGTGAGAGCTGGTGAGATCTCGTCCAGTCTCGCGAGAAATATTGGTAATCTCCCGAGCGCTTCTCCTCCAACAGCGGCGGCAGGTCGGATCCAGTGGGCGCTGTAGGCTTGCGGATCTGATCCGCCTGCTGGTCCAGAGCGGAGCTGTTCTGGATCCTGTGGGTTTAGCCAGTTACACTAACGGGAAGTAAAAGCAAAGCTGACCTGCTCTGACACTTCATGATAGCCTCTGTTTCCTTCTACGTCTCTTAATCTGTTGACCTGTAGCTTTGAATTTCATAAAAACATCTAAATTTCTGCTCTCAGAAGATGGTGTGAATTTGTGGCTTTAAAATACTTTCTTTGTCTGCAGTGCAGGCCTCATATGTGGGGTTTGTGTGTGAGTTACCTGGGGGATCTAGATGGTGTCCCCTCTGCCTTGTTTGGGTCCATCAGCCTCTGCAGTTGTTTCTGTAAGACCATCCTCTCTGCAGCCTGTCTGCACGGCAAACAACACAGACAGAAAACAAGATTCAGACAACAGCAGCAGGTACAAGGGCTGCTTCATGCTGGACCCATGTGAGCAGTTGTTTTAGTAAATAAGGAAATGAACCCGGTCTGTGTAAAGAGCCTGAAGCTGTTGGATGAGTTAAAATGCACAGATGAAGGTAAAAGAGAGGAAGCAAAGTCTCCACTGTAATATCAGTCCTCACTTTGGCCTTGTTTTGGTCTGACTACGGTTGAAGTTGGCCACGAACATCTGAAAATAAAAGTTTTTGTTTTGTTGCTATCAGAAAAGATGAAAGGTGGGGTAGACAGGATCTGAATGAACACCAGATTTTGGGAGAAATCTTGAAAGTAAACACCACCCCTCCCCTCCTCAGTTTTCCCCTCAGCCCCCTTCCCTCTCTGCTCCAGCAAGACCCGCCCACAATACAAACGCTCATGCTCGCTCACATCACTCCAATTTACCAGTGACTTATCAATAGACCATCTGAAGCATTGAAGCATGTCTGATTCCAAGGTAAGAAGACTTTAAATCACAGCTGGCATCTGATCTAAAATTTCTTAAATTGCATACGGTCCTCCATCGTTTAAAGGCTACACTGATATTTACTTAAGCCCTATTTCTTGCCTGGTCTCTCTTCTTCTTGAGTGCCTGTTTTTTGGCAACAGTCCTCGGTATTTTGGAGTGTGGACAGTAATGGCCAAAAGAGGAAATGGCATTTTCTCTGGTTTCTCAAGTTGCTTTCCACTGTCCGCCATTGTCACAAGATTGTTTTGGGTCCACTCGTGTATGCACTTTGTCGTCACATAGCCGGCGTTTCAACCAATCAGCATGAATAAGAATAATAATAAGAATAAGAATAAGAAGAACTTTATTAATCCCTGAAGGGAAATTCAATTGTCTGTCGTCTTATTTGTCATGTCTCTAAGTCATATAATATTTACAGAAGAGTTATAAAGTCTGATGCCAGTGGGTACAAAAGATCTTCTGAATCTTTCTGTCCTGCAGCAAAGAGAGGGGCAGTGTTTACCTCACAACCAATCAGGTTTGGGGAGGCAGAGAATGACTTTGTCCACAGTCAGAATGAGTGGGCCGCTCAAAAATGTTAAAATGTTGACTACACAGACATAACAGAACACAGTGATATCATTATATGACCAAATGTCATCAATAACTAATAGCTACTGACTGATATTAAAAGCTTTTATGTTTATACACCACAAAAAAAGATGCTTCTGTAACAGAATACCGCCTACCCCACCTTTAACTTCTCAATAAAAATAAAAAGTTCTAAACTGATCAGAAGTGAGTCTGAGAAAAGATTTGTGTAGTTTACAGACAGTTATGATGTTGCTTTGGTGTTCTTCTGTGTGCAGTGATGTGGCTTAAAGAGTGCAGCACGAAATGAAACTCAACATTCTGAAGAAACATAATGAGAGAAATGACAGAATGCTGTTGGAAACTCTGAAAAAGCAGGAACACTTTTGTTTAGTAACTATAATCACTGACTGCAGCTTCATCTCTACAAAAATAAAAAATAAAAACTACTTTTTTTAACTAAAGCATCAAATATTCAAAGACTGAGAGTTTGAGTTTAGAAGAAAATCTTCAAATCCCTGTGACTTACTCATTGAGCTGTTTGGTGAGTTTAACAACCTGTGAAGCCAATGACATGCAGGTTTCCACGACTACCAGGTATCGAGCGCAGGTAGTGTGTCCCTGCCGCTCAGCACTCTGGGAAGGCCGCTCTCCTTGCTGGTTCTGGACGGTCACGTTGGAGCCGTACTCCACCAGCGTCTTAAAGCAGCAAAAGAAAGCAGAGATATTCATTTAAAACAAGATTAATGTCATAACAATAATGGTTTCTGAAAACAGAAACTTCGTCATTTTTACTCCGAGTGCTGAGGAAAAAAAACAGCTGCTGTATCCAACACATATCACTGACTATCAGTATTTTGATTGTCGGCCGGGCCGGCCAACAGGAAGCAGACAAGACTGATAACATCCGCCTCTCTTACGGGTGTGCCACATTACAAGAGTGAAAAAAAAAAAAACACTAATTGAGAGGCAGGCTGTAAAATACATTTAATAAATTAAAGTCAGAGCAGAGTAACCAGAGCAGGAGATGACTGGAGTTTTGTGGTTTGATATCATCAGGAGATGTAAAGGTTTCTAAACCAGAAATCTGATCAGACTGAAACAAAAAAAAAACTTAAAAATCTGCGAATGACTTCAGGAAAACTATAAATTACAGGTACTTCAAGTTCTTGCTGGAGCTTTTTATGAACAGCTGGGAGCAAACAGTGACAGTGACTACTGGTTTGGCACACACCTGTATGCATGTGAGGTGTCCGTACTGAGCTGCTATGTGGACTGCCGTGTTTCCGTTCTGGTCCACCTCGTCTAAAGAGATCGCCTGTTCCTGCATGAACTGAAGCAACCACAGCAACACTTTTTCCTGTGAGGACAGACGGACAGAGACGAAGACATTGAACCTGGTTTGAGTTTGACAGAAGATGATGGTTCGGAAATCATTTAAAATCTTCATCCAACTGAAAATCGACAGTATGTCAGATGTTGAGCCTATCCTTACCTGTCCGTAGCGGGCTGCATAGTGGATCAGACTGGGATGTTCTCTGGAGCAGCTCAGCTCTGCGATGGCCTCTGTCTCACTCACCATCCACCTCACACACTCCAGATGACCGTTCTGCAACACAAAGACACACGGATGAAGGTTTTCATCACTAAAGAGAACATGCTTTTGATTTATCTGCTGCACTTGTGACCTCCAACTGTCAGCGTTTCTTTTCCACAGTGTGACTTAGTGAACAGATCTATAAACCCACAATCGACACGAATCCAAAATGTTTCAGGAGCAGGTGGCTAGAAATCTACCGCTCCATTAATCTGAGTGAGTAAACAAGAGGCTTTCTGATAAGAGCCAATCAGGACTCAGCTGCCGGCTTGTCTCGAGATAAACACGCTTCCTGTCTGGCAGCCAATCAAGAGGCTGGTTTCCACTGTGAGGCAGACAAAAACAGGACCTGCTCAGTATTTATGGTGTTCGCTTTCCTCTGATTCAATGCTGAGTCGTTTAAATGTCCTGCTGCTGCCAACAGGCTGATGTTGGAGTTTAGATCATTTTACCAGGAACCTCCATCATGACCTCACTGACCGACGGACGACAGCCAATCCAAATCCTTGTTTTCTATGATCATTTTCAGCAAATACAAATGCCACACAGAAGTTCAGCCCTCCACCTTGCATATGTTTACATTTTACCATCGAGACTGAATCATATCTGCACACACAGAGACAAACACAGACGCACACAGACACACACTGAAACACACTGACCTTGACTCCCAGGCCAGCGGGGGTGAGCTGCTGGTTGTTGCGTTCGTTGAGGCTGTCCTCCCCCATCAGAGAGGTGAGGTGCTGCAGACAGTCAGCATGACCCTGAGAGGCCGAGATATGCAGCAGGTTGTTCCCGTCATCATCTCTAATCAGCTCCAGGTTATCTTCCGCCAGGTGGGGCTGCAGGCGGGGAAGGAGGAAAGAGATGAAGGGGGGCAGAGGTGAGTAAAAATGGAGGAGAACAAAGAGGAGGAGGAGGGTTTGATACTTTAGTAAGAATACTTCATTCCAGTCCCACTCACCAGCAGGGAGATCTGTCCCTCCCTGACGATGTTGATGATGTTCTGGTTCTTCTTCGTCTCCTCATCCACCTCCCCTCCTGCTCCTCCACCTCCTCCAAACCCCCTCGGCCCACTGCTGCCTCCTCCTCCTGATCCAGGAGCCCAGGGTTTGGAGGCGTCCTGCCTGCTCATGCTGCACCCAGGCAGGGGGAACATCAGGCCGGAGCCTCCTGAGGACTCCATGCCTGGCCTCTGGCTCTGTGAGTCTGGGTAAACCCGAGCAGACAGCAGCTTGTCTGGAGGTTAAAGTTCAAACATGGACTCAGACTTAAAGTTTTTTCTCAGATTAAATCACACGGAGATGTTTTTGTACCTGCATCAGAGAAAGATGACAGTGAGGAGGAGCAGCTGAGGAGTCCAGAGGGGAGAAGGTCAGACTGGTATCCTCCTCCTCCTCCAGCTGGGGACCGATGGAGGTGATGGAGGTCTGGATCCATGGACTTCGACTTCCTCAGGTCAGACCACTTCACTGGAGACAGAACGCAGTACTGCAGGAGAAAAAGGAAGAAAAATAATTTTCCATGACAGTTAAAAATCCAATCAAGAGAACTTCTTTACTCATTAGGAACTTCATTCCTGTAAAAGCTTCAATGTTGACCCAACACAAACATGACTGATGTAAGACATACAGCCTTCTGCCTGCACTGATCCTCTCGCCTCACTCCACCTCTTCACTCTCTCTTCATCATTGTGATGCTTTTGTTCTGGGGTTGTGTCCGGGACAGTTGTTGTGTACCTGTGTCTGTGAGCTGCTGCTGCTGCCCAGACTCAGAGGCTCGTTGTGGACTAAAGAGGAGCTCTTCAGTCCTCCTCTGTTCCTCTCCAGAGTGCCTCCTCCAAGGTTGCTCCCTGTCACAGTTCTCTTATCGTGGGGGACTCGAGGCAGTGTGGACATCTGCTGGCTGGACTTGATATAAGGCACATCTAGGATCTCGTCCATGTCCAGATCATAGTGCTCCAGCTCCCCAAAGAGAGCCTGTGGGTTGTTTCCTCCAACCCCACCTCCACCTCCACCTCCACCCAGGCCTTTTACCTTCACTCCAGGGGCCTCAGAGGAGGCGTGAGTCTGTTTGTCAGAGCTGGGGTCATCCTTACTGCTCTCCCCTGTCTCCCCCAGTCCAAGCCCCTGACCCTGGACTTTACCATCAGAGTCAGACTCAGTGGTTTCTGGTTGGTGTTTGAGTGGGGAGACCCTTTTCACAGGTCTGAATTTACTGTGGACCTCAGCAAGGCCTGTGGGTTTGATTCCCCCGCCGCTGTGGGAGGAAACACTGCGACTCCAGTTAATGGCTGGAGCTGATAGAGGAAAGAGAAGAGGACAGGAGATCAGCTGAGTTTACACTCAGGAGTATAAAAGAGTTCAATCTGTATGTCTTTATCTCTGGATTCACTTTTTGACAACAACATAGTTACCTGGTCTGTCCTCAGCCTGGCCATCAGTCCTTCTGGATAACTCAGGGATGCTTTTTAGAGATGTCACGGAATACTGCAGAGGAGGAAAACACAAAAACTAAGAGTGGGAGATGTCAGAGGAGTTTACACAGCAGTCCAGCAGCTGAGCAGAGCGGTTATTTTTAGATATTAGTTCACTGCAGTAGCAGTCGTGTTACAGTAATTACACACAGACTGAAACATGAGGCAAGACTTACCCGTTTGTTTATTTTTCAGTCTTTCTACATGTATTTGAACAGAGTGGACGGATTATTAGACTTATCAACTTAAACAGAAACACAACACTCATGCACGTCTGCAGGGATCATTTCAAGTCTGCTCTAATGTCTGACAGCACTGGGACGATCAGTCAGCATCATCGTGAGTATTCAGATTTCATAGCTATGAACTAATTGTTCTGCAAACACAGGACTGAAATGCTAGCTGGTGTTAGCTAGCTGGTGTTAGCCCGGCCATGCCGTTGTGTTGAGTTATTCTTATTTTTAACGTAATGGTTGTTTTTAGTTGTCTACAACATGTCCTGGTTGTCTTTTGAATCAAGCTGAATCAGACTCAGCCTCTGTGGAGGATCTGCAGCCTCTCAGTTTCTAACCTCAGTATCCATACAATGATCTGAATCGATGGGGACGTTGTGATAATGAGGCTCCGTGCTGATTGGCTGCCTGAGGGGGATTGCAGACTGATGCAGAGGTGGAAAAACATCATATCAAACATGGCGAGTGCCCCAGAGGAACCTGTACCACATATAATTCAGAATCTGGTTCTGAATAGTTGGGGTGTTCCAACAAGAGTACCTCACAATTCCATTCGATTTCGATGGTGGGAGCTTTGATTCTTCGGTAATAATGACTGTTGATTCCATTCAAGTATTGGTGCCATGATTCTTTGATTATTGCCATCTCTGAAACTTTTCTCCATACAAGATTGTTTTTGTCTTCACCTGTGGCTACATTTGTAAATAAATAGCCTATCAATTACCTCAGTTCCACTAAAACTACACTTAATAAGTAAATAATGAGGTGTTTTTTAACATTTGACTTGTATTTTTCAAAGACACAAAATATTTTATTTTATGACTGTATGACTGCTATGTACACATTTGCACTTTGACTTACTGAACTTACACTGAGAAGTTTGGAGATGGTCTCCTTCTCTGTTTCAGGATAAAAGCGTACAATGTGCTGCCTCACGTTTGTGGTGTTGCTGAGGTACTTTATTTTTGCTTTACAAATCTTGCAAATCTTGCGTAGGTCTTGTCAGTCATCTTGTTTCCTCAGCTGCAGTCAACCCCGGTGGCGAGAGAATCGGCCGCTCTTTGGAGGCAGCTGAAGCAGTTGCCATTTTGCAAAAAACGAACATGCTCTATGTTGTGGTCCCACTCACTAAACAGTCCAGACGGTGCGCGGGTATTAAGGTTCCAGTTACATGTTTCTCTGTTCTGGCCTTCCGGCAAAGCATCGACATTATTGTTGATTTATTAATTTTAAGCATCAACGTTAATTAATTGATGCCGAATCTTCACGTGAAGCATCGCAATACATCAACACTTCAGTGAATTGCACCCACCTCTGCTGAACAAGAAGAGGCAGCTGTTGAAGTGTTGCTGATGCAGTTACAATTCGAGACACACAATGAGATGTTGGTGGGATTTTTTGGACCAAAAGTTGGAAAAATAAAGTGACTTTCTGAGCAGTTTGGCACAAACCAGCCATCAAGGTTAGTCAGTTATTACATTTCTATAGTTTCTGTTTCTCACTCATCCTCAACCCCCAAATTTTTGGATGTACACCAGGTTACTAGTGTCAGAGTGGCTAAATGTCTCTGTCATACAACTTATTCATAAAGCAATTCATGCAGTCTATTCAAGTGCAAAACTGTGTCTCTACATCACAAGATGTGAAAAGAAAGTCCTAAACTGATGCAAGTCTGGGTCAGAGGGGGACGTTTCCATGGAGCTCTGTCAACAGTAGTTATTTTGAAACCGCAGAAACAAATGAGCTTTTTAAACTTTTACACTCACCACTGAATCATCAGAGAAGTCGATTTCGTCCAGGTCCAGGTACTCAGGAGCCTCCATCTTCACACCACATCATCAGCTGCACAACCAGCTGCACTGAAAAAATACAAATGTTTGAGAAGGCAAGAAAACACTGTAATGATGTCTGGAAACTGTAATCCAGTAAAAAACTTTAATTCTTTTTTTTTCTTTTTCCTACTTCTTATTCCTCTAGAGTTGTTTGAAGTTTCTAACCTGTAATAACCTTTGGTTAAATCCGAAATCCTAAAGTCATAAAACTCTTAATTTGTCTTCTTTCTGAAGCATCATCATACCCATAAATACAGTGAGGACAAACACCTCTGGTTTGAATGTGGAACTGATTCGATCTGCAGGAATAAAACACAGGAAATAGCTGCAGGAAACGGAGAACAGTGGAGTTGAAAACTGGGTTAAAAGTGTTTTTGTGGGACAAACTGCTGCTGCTTGTTAACCTGCGTCACTCTCACAGCTCACAGAGGGTTACTGTAAGTGTGTCGTTTGAAGATCTTCAAATCCTTAGTAATACTGAAGGTTTCAAACAGTGTAAATCCCAAAGTGTCAACTTCACAAAGTGGTTGAGCTCCTATGATCAAAGGCAGCAAACAGCAGGATTATCGGGGCCAATCAAAGTGCGGCGTGACTCTGAGAGCTTTAAGATTTAAAGACACAGTGCACACGCCAAACCTGAACCGAAAAAGTAACATTAAAAGTGTGAAATATTCCTCACCGATACAAAAGGTGACTGATCTTATATGGATGGTAAAGTCATTGAATTATCTACTCTATCAGGCAGTCTGAATGATGTTCAATATACAGATGAGGTGATTCCTCACAGCTGTGGTTATTTAGGCATTGTGTTCAGTAAACAAGCTGAATGAGAAGATGGTTGAAGCAACTGCTTCCCAATAGCGAAGCCAAAACCTCCAGAGCTCCCCCTGGTTATTGTCAGTGTGTTTTGTTTTCATTGCAGCACTCGCTCTCCTCACTCTGTCTCTATGTGACTCTCTCACCACTGCTCCTTCTATTTGTCTTCCCGCAGCTTTGAGTTAAAACTAGGAGTATCAATTTCAACTGGTACTTCTTCCTGTACTATCAAGAGCAAAACCAACAAAGATACCAAGGTTTTAAAACGTATGACAGGGTTTCCCCTACATGCAATTGATCGTGGCGCACCACCACGGCTAAATAAAAGCCGCCACACCTAAAAAATGTGTTTTTATCTCAGACAGTTCTACCTCTGACTCATATGTATCAGCAGGGTTTACCCTACATTCATTCGGCAACAGCCCCTGGTAAATTACATGCGCCACTAATAAAAATTTCACATGATCATTAATATCAATGCGCCACTGAGGATTCTACTCGCACAACAACAAACAACGTTATTTCCGACTTGTTGTGAGTCATCAAGGAGCGCATCAAATCCTGTCGGACCCTCTTTTATCAATGTAAAGGGTAATGTTTAAGCTTATACACGGTCTATAAAGTGAGTAGCGAGTAACATAAGTAAAACTGAAAAAAAATCTTGCTCATGTCTAAATCATTGTTCATTAATATTAAAATAAATAAAAAAGACCTAACATAAAACAATCAAAATGGTGAAAGTGAGCCTTAACTCCAGTAAAACCTGTGGTTTCATCTAATGTTGGCTCTGTATGTGGACAGATTTGAGTCTTGTGAGGATAAGAGTGCACACAAGAGCAACAAGCAGAGACACTGACAACTCACCTCCACAAACACAAACAAAACAATAGCATACTGCAGGACTTAATCGGTGTGTTTACCCTTAGATGAGAGATGACAAGACGAGCCACAGTTGTTGTCATATGAGGTGAGTTAACTGGACCAATGTCCTTGTCTCAGTTTAAAAACACCAAGAATCAAGTCAAGCTTCATCTGACTCTAGCATCACAGCTTTGCCATCATTTAAGAGCAGAGATGCCGACAGCTCATCTCCACAAATCGACGCAATACGGGGACAAACTGTATGAAGCTGCAGAGCTTACTGAGCGTGTTTGATCATTAGTATTATGTGTTGTGAATCTGACCTTCAGATAGGCAGAACGTGAGGAGCAGTTCTTGGTGCGATCAGCTGTTACACTTGAGTTTACTTCTCATGTGAAACACACAGTACAAAGTGAAACTACAGCTGCAACCACCTCTCTAAGCTCTGTAAGCTATTTTCTCCTTATCTTCTATTACCTCTTCCAGTAAGATCTGTTTTTTTCTTTTATTTGTTGGACTGCCTCCAGCTCTGTTGTGTAAGAACAGCCAAAAAAAGACATGTAGAAAAGACTCTCCAGCAGCAGAGGTTACAACAGTTAACAGTGAAGTGCAGAGGTGTGCACAATGACAGCCACTCCAGCAAAACAGCGTCCTTTAAAAGGTGTTTATGGTGATTTTTTCTGGCTGTGTGGTGACAGTTTTCTGTTTTTATCTGCTTAACGTGTTCCTTAAATAATCAAAACAAGAGGTTACTTTATGTTTAGAAATAAATGTTGTTCTCTCCATGGTTACAGGATGTTCAGAGAGCAGCAAACTGTGCAGCTTTCATGTGCGAATGCAGCTGTTTTCAGACAGTGTGGGAGCGACTGCAGAACTGAACGCGTCCAAATAAAACCTCTGATTGCAGCTTTGAGAAAGAGTCGAGCCTAACATCCTTGATAACAACAGTCCAGGCAAGAGAGCAGACATCAAAAATAAAAGTGGATCAAAATAAGAAAGAGGAGGATGTCTGCTCTCTCTGTTTATATGAACAGCTGACGACTCTAAACCCGTCCAGACTGAGAGACACAAAAACAATCAGAGAGAGCTTTTTGGACTCCAGTCAAGAAACATGAGCAGGACTTTTCAGGGGAATCGGAGAGAGATTAGGTTAGTCTTTCTGTGAGTGAAATTAGATCTGTGTAACTTTAAATTTCTCTTCAAGGTCAGGTGAAACTGCCAGCTGAGTCTTATTAAAAAAGGAGAATTCCCCCGCAGCAAAACTCCTAGATTTCATGTAAACCGTTGTGCATGAGGCAGGATAAAAATAGAAACTTAAAAATAGCAGCACTCTGAGTTTCTGGTGTCCCAACTCATAGTTGGTTTTTCGAAGTTTGTGTCCTGCCCAAACTCAAAGAGCTAAAGCAGGACTGACTGACTCGTTGGCTCATAGAGTCAGATTGTCCAAAAGTAAAAGTTTCTGCCTCCATATTTCAGGTCTGGACAACAGAAACTATTCAACTTCTTTTCACACACATAAAGAACAGTGTATGGACGATGGTTTATCAAAGTTTTAAACTTCAATTCTTTTAAACTCCATGTGCTTTGGAACTATGCAGTTTGCACTCATAGTATACTGACAAAGTATAAGACAGATCAACATGTTCAACCGAAAGCTGAGAGCGTAGTGGAGTTACACTGAGATGAAGTGAAAAGAGCGAGCACAGCTGATGAGAACAAAACCATGAAACAGACACTAAAGTGTTGAAATCATTTCTGAGCCTCAATTGTGTGCAGTGTGTAGTTAAAAAAAACTAAATATTCAGGGTCGGGAGTTTGATTTCTGTCTCTGAAGTATTGTAACAAGTGTTATTAATATTGCTTTATAATTACTCATATCAAAAATGCAGTATTCTGGTATTGTAACAATTGGCGATGGGAAACCATATACAGCACACTATGCAAGAATTGGCTATAATAATCCATCAGTATTCAACTATAATATGACAAGTGAAATATTTTAAAAATAGTCATATGACAATATAGCATAATATCTGATAAAATGAGGAAATAAAGGATCAAGTACTTTGGTTTGGTTTCACTGAGTTGAAACAACATCCATGTTTTAACTCTGTAAATATAATTTCATCACAAAAACTGCAAATATGCACATTTATTTAAAAAAAAGGAGATTTAATGGTAAAAACAGCTTTTAGTGCTCCATCAAATGTTAGCAGCTTGTTTATGTGGACCTCTTCATGTACTGTGAATAAACGGAAACTTGTCACCAGGGTGTAAATTACTTCAGTAGTGAGATTTGTGCATCACGCTGGTTTGTTGCACACAAACAAGAACTTAAAACTTCCTATTGTTTTGATTATATGTTATTTTTATTAATGTCATGAAGTAGGGAGTCACACTGTGAGATATATCTGATTAAAAGGCCATTTTTACATTTTGTAAAACCATTTTAAATATCGATCTGTACCCTCACACAGGTCAGGACAATAATCTATTTCTATGTCGATATTTTCTCCAAATCCCTGATTCTACATGATGTTACACAAACAGAGTATTATTGTTCACTTCCAACATTACAGCGATTTAAGATTTAAAACACTCATATCCAGACAGTTTTAGTGTTGTCAGACATAAACTATTCATTCTCATTTAACTACATTAGCTGATCCTATTTCATGTTCACAAATATAATATGAAGGCGCAAGAAAGCATGTGAAGCAAACATTAAAATAAAGCTGATAATTCTTTGGAGTTAACAGCCTGTCAGAGATAGAGGATATTTAAACAGAGAATGAACTGAGTCACTATTAAAGTGAAGTTATTCAGTTATATAACCATCAGTCTCACAGCTAGTTTAAAACACTGTTAAACTAAAATGTTTATGTAATTAATCTGTTTTAATGATGATAACTCTGAGAAGGTAAAGAAGAACACCCACTGACTCTTTAAAGTCAAGCCAAACAGTATCTGTCATTTTTGCCTCATTTCCCCCTAATATCTCTCTTTGGTACCCTTAGATAAGAAACAGAAGCACAGACTCTTAGATGGTTTGACGGCTGAAACATTAGAGGCAATAACGCCGTTTTTGTGTTAAAGTAGGCGGTTTACTCTTGTTTTATTTATTACGGTTCATTTCATCTGATACCTGCTGCTGTGGTATCAGAGGGCTAATTAGCTAACACTAAGCTAGCTGGCTAATCAGCATCCATACAGGCTAATGGGAAGCTAACAGGCTAACAGGCTGGAAAATGAGGTCAAAGCTCAGGTAAAGGCGAGCCCGGCGCCGCTAAACCTGCCGTGTCTTCTGCTTCACCGACAATCTGCTGGTACCGTACCTTATCAGAGTCAGGCAGCCGAGGAGAAAGCGCTGGCTCCGGGAGAGATATAGCTAGCTGAGCCACAGATCCAGCTGTTTTTTTCCTTCTGTCGCCTCGCTGTCTTGAAAAGCACAAAGACTTTGACATAAGTGCAGCGCAGAGAGAAGAATGAAACAAGAGGGCTTACTCTGAGGATATTTTAGAGTAACAGAGTCTGAGGGAAAGAAGGATGACCTCAATTTCTGCTGATTGATCATTTATCCCCGAGTAAAAGGCTTATTTTTTATCAGGTACTATCCAAAATTATGATCAACTAGCGCTGTGAGCCCATAGAAAAACAATAAAATGTATGCTTTCCTTCCTTAGAATCCCGATTACAATAGGTCAGAATCCCGAAAAGTCGGAATTCAGATCATCAAATGCCAAAGGCTTTACATATCTAGATACCATTTGTTTGTGAAATAATTAGGATTAATAATCACCACAGTGAAAGTGACATGGTATTTTTGTATGCCTACTATGATCCTCCTCAGAATTATTTATTCAAAGAAACATTTAAGAATGTAGAGCTGAAGCTGTACATTGTTTTCGCACCTCGTGTCTCATTATTTTGTTAGACGATCTTTGAGGAGGGCAGCCGCTCCAGACAGAGGAAGTTGAACCGTTAGATCGATCCGTTATCCTTAGAATTACTAATATTCATCTGAGCCGATTTATTCATCGATATTTCTACAATCTACAAAATATACCGAGGCTGACAGATTCTCATTTGTTGAAATAAAGTCATGTCAAGTTATTTAATCATCAAACAGTCAACTGTGTCTTACAAGAAAGTGACATTTGGCCAGGTCCGTTAAACTGCTGAAGACAATGAAATATAACAATTTTACCAATAAAAACCTTCTCATTTTCACTCTTTGTATAACCCTTGTGAATAAGTAGTTTTTCAACCAACACTTCACAGAAGAAATAACCACAGTTAGGTGGTATTTGGAGCATTTAGGCTATTGTTACTTAGTTTTGATATAAAGGCCTGTTAAGAAGAGGTTATACTTATTCAAACACCACTTTAATGGCTTTAGATCATTATCTTTTGGGGAAAACGTTAAATGCTGTGAATAATCATTGAAAAATGTATATTCTAATGGCATATTTGTGCTGAATTTGATCTCTGGTATCAGTGTTTAGCCATCAGACATGAGTTACATAACTTTGAGTGTGTTTGGGAGAAACTGAGTCTATAAATGTGTTCTGTATGCTTCCATAATAGCAGCCTTTGCAGCTCTTTTTCTGTCCATGATGGTTAAATACTCGTCAGATTATTTTGGCCTCAGTAAGGTCATCTAGTGGCAGAACCTGATACTGCAAAGGTTTTAAACAGCCAAAAAGGCTTTTTTCACTGAAGTTACAAAGTTACATCTGTTTACCAAGTGGCCCGCTTTGGTATTACCCATCAAGAGAGGAGACACTGAAACACGTCAGTGTGTAAATTTGATGTTTCAGTTTATGTATGAAAATCTTTTGTATTTGTTTCTGTATAAATGAACTTATTTTAAATGGCAAGAAGATGGAGAGAGAAAAAAACATCTTTAATGGCTTTGAAGGCAGTCAACACCTGCATCAAAATAAAACTTAATAAAAGTTTTTCTTTATGCATATAAGGCTTTTAGAAGACCCATGTGAGAGTCTCTGAAGTATTAAATCTAACACAAAAATCACAACAGACAGATTCCTGCTTAAAGGTAGGATTGTGCTTTTTTTTTAAATCACTCTTTAGGTTTCGTTTATTATAGATCACAATTATTGGACTGAAATTGTGAGAGGATCAGCATAACTTATGGGAAAAGCAACATCAGGTCTTTCAGAGTTACTGTTTCTGCAGGACAGGCTGAGAAAAGATTCAGAAATGAATCCCTGCATATTCAAGATTATTGTTAGTGTTCAAGTGTTATTGTTATTATTAATCAGAGCTGTAAATCTCTTTAAAACTGATATGCAAATAAAACAGCCACAGCAAAGTCTAACTCTTAGAATAGTCTTAGTTTTGCTAAACCTGGCTTACATTTTAGTATTGGTTAAGATCCTAAAAAATGAAGACGGTGGCTGAAAAGCTGTTTGTGAAAGGGCATACATGAGGATACAAGAAGCACTTGGAGTTTGAAAAATCATCCAGAATCTACTATTTCTACAAGTGCTTTAAAATATCAGAGGAAAAAAAACTTTTAGACAGAAAGCAGAATTCTGATTTGTTTATAAAAAAGTAAAATTATTATCAAAATGCATCTCAAATCATAACATCACAGCATCAAATTCATCCACAAACCCACCACCACTTTCACACTGCACATTCTGTTAACAGTACAAATGTGAGCTGAAATAAAAATAAATCAGCACACTACGCCAACAATATTAACAGTATTAAATGTCTGCACAACTTCTGCAACAACATAAAATATAACCCTCCTCATATTCTCATATAACACAGAATTGCCTGTGCATTCATGCATTCTTGTTTAGTAACAGTTCCTGCTCTGATGCCTGAAAAGCTGCCATGATCCATGGATTTTGCTAACAAGTTAATTCACTTTGACTGCAAACAACAGCTGAGCAATGTCTGTCTAGGATAAACCCAGAGAAGTGAGTGAGATGCAAAAGTTTGCCTGGTTGATTAATATAGGAGAGGTGAGATGCACATTTAAAAATGATGCACGGTGCTGCAACATCTCCAAAACACCAATAGGACAGTCAGAATCTGCTGTTAATAAATGAAATACATTTTTGACACACCCAAGAGGTCCAACAGTCAGCCTGGGTTCAGAGGAAAACAGCACACCTCCTTAAATAAATATGAAATTCACCATTATGATAATAATAATAATAGCTCGACATGGACTCAGAATAAGTGAATTTTTCTTCGGGGATCAATTAAGTAAATGTAGAATGTTGAAGTCACATGACAGCTTGTACACATGAAATTAGGTAGCAGCTCATTCTAGATAAGATTAGACACAATTTCATTTTGCCGTTAAATCAAAAAGTGGAGTTTGTTTTGTGAAAGCAGTGATGAGTTGCTGACTCCACACGCCTGACTGTAAAAATCTTAAAAACTGACCTGTAGTACTAGCCAAGAGAATTTCTTCTTACACCAAACTTTCTCCCCAGGCGTCTCTTACTCATGTGAACATTGTCCTGACTGACAAACACAGATTTGAAATATTTGACTCTACTCAAAACTTCACGATACAAATCTCTCTCTCTGCTGTTGTTAATAGTTTGCTTTGCCTGTGGTCAAAAGTCAGAAGTAACTTGGCTGAAACTGTGTGAGATCAAGCATAAATTTCTCAGGATACTTCTTTAAATTTCCTTTCCTCTCAAGCGACAATGTGGGTGATACATTTCTTAAAACTGACCCTTGAATTTCAAAAAAGATTTTAAGTGAAGCATGTGCTCACTGTGGATGGCTGCTCTGTTTTGTTTGTGGCCTAGGTGAACATTTCCATAAATCCAAACCATAAACAGAAAACATGGGTAAAGGTCAGACCAGTATCATATTAGTCTGCTAATTCAGTCATTTAGTTTAACCTCAGGTGATCATTTCTCTTGCTTGTGAGTTTTTTAAGATTTTAGTGAGACGTAATTCATCGGCTACACAGCTCTCATTCATTCACAGCTGTTCTCACTTGGGTTTCCTCATGTCAGCTTTGCTCTGTCTCCATTTTCTGCTCTTTTAGTTCATTTTCTGCATCTTGGGGTTATTCCATCAAGACATCCTCATTTTGTGTTTGCATGGACAGTTTTAACACAATCATCTTGTGTCAGCCCACTGTCGCTTGCAGCACGTTTGATCTTTCTGTCTCTTTGCGAATCCATACAGTCTCTTTCCTTTTGCTTTTTCACCTTTTTAACTCTGCGTACAGCTTGAAGAATCTTCCTCGGCTTCTGCTGCAGAGCTCCCGGACCCTCGAATTCTCCCTTACTGATTTCCATATCAGTGTCAGGTTGTCACATTCCAACTTACCCACAACCAGCTGGACTGTAGTATGTTGGGATAATTCAGGACTAAAACATCTGTATCCTCCTTCACCTGAGAGTTTGACGTTGGAGATTTTCAGTGAAATGTTTCTATGTTTCAGTTCTTCACTGAACATTGATGATCTTCCTCTGTAGGATGGATTTTTTAAAAATACTGCTTGTTCATTGTGGCGCTGTACGAAGACATATCTCTGCATTGGCTACCTGTGTCTTTTAGAGTAAATTTAAAAGCTCGTTTATTAGTTTTTAAAGCTCTTAATGGTCTTGGTCCTTCTTATTCGTCTGATTTGCTTTAACCATGTGAGCCAAGTAGAGCCCTCAGGTCTTTAGGTGGTGGTCTTTTAATTGTTCCCAATGTAAAAACTAAGATATATGGTGAATCATCATTCCAACATTACGGTCCCCATTTGTGGAACAGCCTACCCACAGACCTGAGAGCGACAACTACTGTTCATATTTTTTTAAATAAGCTCAAGGCCTACCTTTTAGTCTGGCTTTTAGTTAAATTGTGTTTTAATCTTTTAATCTGCATTATGTGATTTAACCCTATTTTAGCCCTAGAGTATTTTGTGTCTTATTACCTCTTTATTAATTTACTTTCTGTTATTGTTTGATTTTAAGACAGTTTAATCAAATTAACTTTTAACACTGTATCACCTTTATTATATTTTATCATGGTTTATCGCTTTAGTTCCAGACTCAGTGTTTCATCATTTTTTAACTCAAGATGTTTCCTCAGTCATCTGTGGCAAAGTGAAGAGTCCTCACCTGGGGCCTTATGTATCAACGCTGGCGGCGCCAGAAAACCTTGCGTACGCCAAAATCGGCGCACACGTCCAGATTTATCATCGCGAAACGAGCGTCGGTTCCAGCGCTAATCAACGCAAAGTCAGGAGGTGGTGTAGAAGTTGGCGTTGAGCCGATACTTGCGTTGACGGCACTTTGGCGACGCTGTGTGGCGGTGTTTGGTGACTCACTATGTGACAAGCGTGCACCACATCCCCGTGGCCGAGCAGCACGTCACCCCACATGACGAACAAGCAGCAGACAGAGGAGCTGCGTCCGAATTGCCAAGTAGTAGTCGAAGTAGTAGTCGAAGTAGTATCTAGCATGTCCGAATTGGCCACCGGAGCGAGTAGCATGCTACTTCAGATACTACTTCAGATGCTAGACACGCCCACATTGTAGGTTGGTCTCGGTGCATCCTACGGGCATGCTACTGACCCAAAATGCACCGCGGGCTTCTTCTTCGTCCTCTTAAAAGTTGTAGAAGCGCATGTGATGCTAGCGCCACCAGCCGCTCTGCCTATTTAAATGTGTCGCGAACGCCGGCTGGCCGCAGCAGCGCGCACCATGTCGGAGCAGCAGCAGCAGCAGGCGGGACCGCAGCAGTACAGATGTAAGTTTCATGTAACTTCACACACTGTCCTAAAAAATGTGCGGTTGTATCTCTTTGTCATGTCATGGTGTCATATTTGCCCAAGTAATCATTTTATGAGCAAGTGGCGAAATCATGGAGGTAAAGCTCACTTATTCCATCATTAAACTGCACAGCTGCAGTACTACAGCCAGGCCCGCAGAAGAGGGGCTTCAGTTACCACTGTCTGCACGGGCGCAGTACCTACTCTCTGCCTGCGGGGGTCGTCTTTCCCCACCGCTCGTCTAGTGTGTCCGAATTGGGCCAACGTTTTTAGTATGTAGGAGTAGGATCTAGCAGTAGCACGTAGCAGTAGCATGTAGTATCCGAGCGGGCAGTTCGGACGCAGCAACTGATGCGAGCTGATCCCTGCCGGGCCGCCGTCCTCGCGCGGGAGAATCTCATCACCACAGTGTGAATGGGTAAGACGTGAATACACAGTTCAATGAGCCAAATTAATTTATTTTCGCCACCAGACGCTCAAGGACATTTACGAGGCGGTCCAGCCGCTCGTTGATCCCCGCGATCCCCCTGATGATTTCTTCCTGCGATTGCAGGACTGCCTCCGTGAGGACCCTTCCACTGCGTCCGGGTGGTCCAGCGGAAGCGCCGCGGCTGGTTGACGCTCCACCGCTTGTCGGCGCGCTGGTGCTGGGGCCGGGGGCCGACGACTCCGAGCCGGCGGACGGGCTGCCGCGGGCCGGGGTTCCGCAAGCCGGCAACACGGCCGACACATTGATTTCTGTGACACAATAAAAATATTTGTTCATTTCAATTCCTGCTTCTGTGTATCTGTTGTGTTTACATCTCTCTCCACGGTATCATAGGTAATGTAATCCAGTATTTCTAGGTCAGTTATGCACATTACAGTTGTTTATTGAATAAAAAATTATCGAAAAATGAAGTCAAGGGCGAAGTGTAAATCATGTCTAGAAATAGACTGAATCCCGACGTTGAAATGAAGTATAAACTTTGACTAGGCGTCTAATATACGTCTTTTGCTCAGTGGGATGACAAAGCATGTGGACATTTGTGTGACACGCCACTTACCCTATAATAATAATCGCCACCACCCGCTGTTCAAACGGCGTGAGGGTCTCCTCCCCCGGACCCCCACCTGTCTGGCCGGTACTCCTCCGGAGGGCAGATGTACGCCGCTTGACCTCCACCTTGAGGTCCGACCACTTTTTTTTAATCTCCGCGGGGGTGCGTGTCTCGGAACCCACCGCGTTCACCCTCTCGCAAACTTTCTCCCACTCCAAGCGTTTTCGTTTTGCACTGACGCCACTGGACAGTCTGCCAAACAAAACACGCTGTCGCTCCTCCACCTCCGCCACCAGCACCTCCACCTCGCACGCCGTAAATTTCGTTTTTCTTGTCATTTTGTCTGCGTGCGAGGACAGGGAGACCCTATTTAAATAAATCTGCATATTTATAGGAGGGCGTCACGAGGGCGGGCGCAGTCGCTCTGACATCTGCGCTCAATTCCACGCTGGTTGGGATTTATCAAGGAAACACACGTGGATTTCGGCGCCCGCACACATTGATACATACGGATTTTTTTCAGCGTGACGGACCTTGCGTGCGCTCGTTTCTCGTATGAGTCCCACGCAAGTATTGATACATAAGGCCCCTGGACTTTTGTGTGTGAATCTGTGTGTGTGAGCGCTGTATGTGTTGAATGGGGGTTGGGAGGTTGGGTGGGGTTTGGTATTTGTATTTGTATTTATTTTATTTCCTTGTTTTTAATAACCTGCTTGAATGGACAGCACTTTGTGCTGGTCCTGACCGAACAAAGCTTGGTTTTACTTAATGCAGGACACAGAAATAATGAGGAGCTGCTGTGATCAGCTGAAAGGCTGCTGGTTGAATTATTGTCTCCATTCTCCCTCAAACCAGGCAGAGCATTTAGACAAGTCTTCTTTCTGCACCAAATGCCGCTTACTCTGCTGACTGGTCATGCTTCATCAAACACTCTGCTGGCTGGTGAGCTTCATATCATGTTAACCCTCTTCTTTATTATCAGGTTTGAGTTTTTCTCTGTGTGATATTTCAGCCTGACTTTTAGACACTTAATACTAAACCAACATTGTTTTTTGTTTAGTTTCTCTTTTAACTGCAGCAACTAAAGACCATACAATGTACTTAACGCCACTAAAGTTAGACTCAAAAATAGACTCAAAAAAAAAAAAAAAAAAAAAAAAAAAAGAGACAAAAAAAAAACTGCAGGCTTTAATATTTACAGTCAAATCACATAGAGAGAACAGGCTAGGACAGAGGATTTCCTGTCTACAGTAATAACATGGAGAAGAGTGTTCATGAGACAGAGGAGCGCTTCCCTCTGAATGAACAAACAATGATTTTTGACATGAAAAGACCGGAACATTTCATATCATCCTGTAGAAATCAATATTATAAAGTAATAAAGGAGAGTAAGAGTTTGAGTTACAAACAAAACAGATTTTACAATAACATGGGAAAATAAATGTGGATCTACAGCTGTGTTGTTGGGAGACATGGAGGAATTTTATCTGCGCAAGTCGATAACCTTAGACGCTAATGTATTAAGTCAGACTCCTCTCCTCTGCCGCTCCCTAGTGGTGGAATGAATTACCAAACTCCAACAGATCTGCAAAGTCTCTTTGCACCTTAAGAAAAGCTAAAGAGTCAGCTCTTTGGGGGACACAAAGGCAGACTCCACAAGCCAAACAGACCCCAATGATACCAGTAAGAACGAGCATGTTTACAGCCTGATGCAAAACAGTCTCATCATATTTTATAACTCATTAATTTTGAGGCCATGAAAACAAAGAGTTTGGTTTGATTAGAGTTGTAGCTAACTTGACTGAGAGATTAGCACACTTGTGGTTTGCAAGGATAAGGTCACGCTCAGTTTCACATCTTTGCCTCCTGCAAGGTTAAAAAAAATTCAGCTTGAGTCAGCATTTCTAACAAAGCAACTGCTGAGGTTGTGCTCAATAACAGCAAACATCACTCAGAATATATATCCATGTCTCATATGATCTATGCTGACAGCATGCCGAAGAAACATCCTTTATTTACAAAATCAACGGCAAAGACTTACAAAAAGAGACACAACTGACTGTTGGAGGCTGCAGGATTGGAGACTTTCATCAGAGTCAAACTCTAGCCTGTACAACACAAGACCAGCTAAGTGATATGATGCACATGTTTGCCCACAGGCAGCACCAAAATCAAGTCTTTACAAAAGTCCCTTACAGTAGCTTTAAAATTCTTTGTGATCCAGATCCTCAAAACTCTTTGAAAGCTGTAAACTGGATTTCTCTCCTTAGATAAATCTGTCTGAGTCCAACAAGTCTGCGCTCCAGTTTCATCTGGTGTTAATGTTTAACTGCTCAGACTCTGATATCTGAGTCTCTGCTAACACACATTGATATACAGCAGTCAGTGCTCAGGATTATAACTATTGTTTTTTTTTTTTACGATACATCACTAAAGAAAGTGATCTTGGTAATAACAAGTTACCCGATTTATTTTTTCTGCTGCTCCCTCAGTACTTGGACTGACAGATAAATAACTTCATGGTAACACTGCTCCAGAGTTCATTAAATCTATTGATTAAGCCTTAAGCATTGATCAGGCAACTTTATAACTTTAATAGCTGAGCATTGACCAAACATGTTCACAGTACAGTGGAAGGAAACTAACTTTGTCAAGGAGAAAAAAATGCTTTGATGAAATGATGTTCTGCAGTTTAAGGAGAACAGTGTGTGTGTGTGTGTGTGTGTGTGTGTGTGTGTGTGCGTGCGTGCGTGCGTGCGTGCGTGCGTGCGTGCGTGCGTGCGTGCGTGCGTGCGTGCGTGTGTGTGTGTGTGCGTGTGTGTGTGTGTGTGTGTGTGTGTCACAAGTATCTGACAGGGTACCAGCAGTGTGGTGTGTGTCAGTTAATTTTGATGCACAGACATTTTGATAAACCTCTGCTCAGAATGGAATAATTTGGAGGATGGATCATGAGTAAGGATCAGATCAGTGTTTGTTTGAAGAATGTGGTGATGGTGAATTCTTCATGGTTTCACGCTTCTCTCTTCAACATTTCATGCATTACTCTCACATGAAAACAGCAATGTCAAGAGCATGTCTCCTCTTCTCTGTTAACAGTCCTGATGTCAGTTTCAGTTGATCTCCATCAGTTCCTCTTCTTGTTCACTCCTCGAGGAGAGTATCAAACTCTCTTCTTGCTCTCTTTTGATGGTCATCTTGAAACTCTGTCTCTTATGTTTTTCTTTACTGCTCTTTCTATCATAAGCTTCAGGTCTATGAGTCTTCCAGTCCTTTCTCTTCAGCATCTCTGGACCCTGTCGTTGATCCATCATCTTTTCTTGTTCTTCTTCCTCTCCAACTTTGTTTTCTGTTTGTATCATGTTGGCCCTCAGTCTACTTTCTTCAATGTCCATGGCTTCTTCAGTCTGAGACTCTTTTGTCTGTCCTCGAACACCTCCTTCTTTTCCTTCCTCACTGATGTCCATATCGATATCAGGTTGTAACATGATCTGCTGCTCCCCTTCTGCTCCTTTAAAAAGGCCCTCTGTCTTTTGTCTCACTTTGATTTTCATAAATCTTCTTCTGTCTCTGACTCTTCTGTCCGTCCTCCTCCACCTTCTTCTTCTTTTCCCTCCTCCCTGATTTCTCTGTCTACACTCTTCTGCTGTCTCGTTCCTCTTCGTTCAGCTGCTCTTCTAACTGCTTCTTCTCTTCTTCTCCTCCTTTCATTTTGGTTTTGAACCCCCTCATCCTTCTTTTGAGTGACATTAATGTTATCTTCTTCAGTCTTCATCATTTCTTCATCCATTACCTTCACCTCCTCAGTGGATTCCTCTGTCTTCTCTCTGTCTTTCTCCTTTACCTCCAGCTGTTGCTCTGCCTGTTTTCCTCGGTCTTCTTTGGTTTGGTTCAGCTTCTCTTTGGTCTCCATCAAAGTTTCATTAATGTCAGTTTGTAAATCTCCTCTAAACTCATCTTCTTGTCTATTTTTAAACACAGTTTTTATCTTGATGGTGGATTGTTCTGGATGTTTTTTGATTTCTTCCTGATATTTTATGATGTTTTCTCCTCCATTCATAAGTGCTACTCTTTCTTCTTCTCCTTCCTTCTCCACATTAAACTCTGTTAAATCTCCTTTAGATGTTTTTGTTTTTCCCTCTTCAGTCTGTTCAGTCCCGTTCTCATGGTCCTTCTTGTTTTCTGTGAGGACAGAGAAGAACGAGAAACTGGTCACATTTGGGAAAAGAAGCTTTGTCCACTTTTTACAGAGAGCAGAGACTTTTTCAAGAATGAAAAATAAACTACATTATCTAAAATCTTTGCTGAGAGCTGCCAACACATGAGGCTCAGGAGAACTGAATGATGAGGGGGTCACACTGAACCAGGACCAGCGACATTGACTCAGTCAGTCTCTGAACCCAGGAGGACATCTGTGCAAATCTGAAGAAGTTTGGACCAGATTTGGAGCACACATTCCCGTGATATCCTGTTCATAGGAGGAAAGAAGGACAACCTGAAAATATCTCCAGATTAGAAAAAAAGAAACTCTTTGACTCACTGAGTTTATTTTTTCTCCTTCTCCACAAAATGAAGACGACCAGAGGAATCAAAACCAGAGCAGCACAGACGATCACTGAGCCGATGAGAACAGGCTGAGAACCAGAAGAACCAGGAAAACCAGGAGGACTGGGGACAATGGGAGTACTGGGAGTAGTTGGTACCATGAAGAAATGATCTGTGATGATAAACAGAGAACTTTGTGAACATTTACAGTTCAGCTCAGAGATCACATCATGAACTCCTGACTCAGATTTACCTGGAATAACAGTGTGTGTCTCTCTGCTCTGGTGGATCTTCTTCTGTGTGACTCTACAGCTGAAGTTCTTCCCGTGTTTCTCCTCCACAGTCACTTTTCTGCTGACAGTGTAGAGATCATCAGGACCTCTGATGGTCTCAGTGGGTGATGAAGAGAGAAGATTTCCCTCAGCGTCCAACAGAAACATCTCTGGTTCTGGATACCAGCCTTTAGACTCACACTCCAACAACACTCCACTGTTGTTTCTGGTCAGTCTTAAAACAGGTGAGGAGACAGCACCTACAGGAGAGAGAGAGAGAGAGATGTCTTTAAATATCAAAATACACAACATCTGATCTCAGTCAAGGAACTGATGCTTATAGCCATCAGAAGCATAATTTTCCAGGTGCTTCAGGTGAATAATTTCTGCACAGAGATATTGGTCAACATGGGGTCCTTCACCAGCTGGACATCTCTAGAAAAGTGTTAAAGTTGGCCTTCAAAAAGTCATCTTAATCAGCCAAAACCACCTAAAATAGGATCTTGTGGTTCATGTCTACATGATTATATGGGCACACTCAAACTAGTCAATCTGTACCACACGCTGGCACATTTGACCTCTATTGACCTCTAAAGACCAGCTTGGACCCTGTGCTGGGCCTGGTTCACTTCCTTGGCCCTGCATGGCATGGTTGCTCATTTATAGCGGCACAGAGAAGCCGATGGATCTGGATGCTGTCTGACAGTAAAGTTTGCAGAAAAACTTAATAGAAATACAGTACAGGCCAAAAGTTTGGACACACCTCATTCAATGCATTTTCTTTATTGTCATAACTATTTAAATTGTAGATTCTCAGTGAAGGCATCAAGAGTATGAATGGACACACTTAGAATCATGTGCTTAAGAAAAAAGTGTGAAATAACTCAAAACATGTTTTATATTTTAGATTCCTCAAAGTAGCCACCCTTTGCTTTCTTGATAGTGCTGCGAACTTTTGCTGTTCTCTTAGGCCCCAACTACATGAATGCAGATATATTTCAAACCGCACATATTTATGTCCGATTAGGCCTCCCTACCACACCAAAACAGGAGTTTGGAACACTCAAACCGGATAAATCTGAATCCGAAAAAACAAGTGGAGAAAAAAAAAAATCTCTGTATAAGTGGATTTGTGTGGTTGAACTTTTACGGATCGCGCTCGATCAGCTCGTGCATGCGAATTAAAAAGAAAAACAACAACAACGATGGCGGACATACAGGGTATTCTTTACGTTTGTTTTGCCCTTTTGGGGCTAATTTCAGCCTTGCAAGTGAACCTTGTTTCATACAATTACATCCACCAGTCAGCCAGCTCACAGAGGCGTCTGCTGCGCCTAATACTTTTATTGAAGAGCAATCGTAACGTTAATGTTAGGCATTTTAAAGTTCGCCAGAAGCGTAAGTTTTGGGTCAAACGCGGTCGGACCAGCAAGTGGTGGGACAACTTCGTTAGAGGGGCTGTGCCTGCAGATGAATGGAAGCTAAACTTCTGATTCATCGGCCAATCAGGTAGCTTTGTTCCTGATTTTTTTTTTTAAGCGGCACCAGATAGGATTGAGTTTGAAGGCTACGTGTGGACGGAGATATTTTTGAGAACTGACACGTGTGGACAGATACATTTATTTAGACGGGAGTACAAAAATATCCTGATAAATAAATATCCATATAGGTGTAGTCCGGGCCTCAATGAGCTTCATGAGGTAGTCACCTGAAATGTTTTTTACTTCACAGGTGTGCCTTATCAGGGTTACTTCAGGACTGACAGAGTCAGTCACTAAATACTTCTGTCATCAAGAGCAAAGGGTGTCTATTTTAAAGAAACTACAATATAAAATGTGTTTTCAGTTATTTCACACTTTTTTTGTAAGTACAAAATTCCACGTGTTCATTCATAGTTTTGATGCCTTCCGTCATAATCTACAATGTAAATGGTCGTATATAAAAAATAAAGAAAAGACATTGGATGAGAAGGTGTGTCCAAACTTTTGACCTGTACTGTATAAGTGAGTGGAAACACAGTAAAAAGAGGACTCTGATACTGGTGGTAGGAGGGAAACTTTTGATTAAACAGAACATAGCGTACGAGTGATCATTCCCAACAAGGGAATGATTACTTCCTCCTACAAGCTGATCAGGATGAAGTTGGAAGGATTCAAACTGCTCTGACTTTCAGGAGGAACGAGGAGAATTCTTCTGACTGTGGTGGCTTTATATGTGGAAACAAACATTGAAAAAAAAAACAACTCCATGTCTGGAGGGATATATTACACTAGGACATGTGCATTATACAAAAATAAAACTTACAGAAAAATGATGAAACAGATCCATTACTCTGAATACAGGAACATGACTACAGACCTTTCTTTCCTCTCTTTTTGAGCATAACAGGATGTGCTGACCCTCTGTCTATGACTGTGTTAGACCCACTCCAATGAAAATCATGTTTACTTGTTGTCTACGTGTTCATATGGCATTTTTCTGATGCTACAGGACATATCATGAAAAAACTAAGTGCAAAATTGCATTTCTGAGTATTTCTGTATTCAAATTGCTGTGAATCTCTGGCAGACCCAAACAGCAAGTTCAGAAACAATGAGACTTCCTGCGTGGCAAATCCAAGATTCGCCCCTGGAGCCTAGCTATGCAGGCCACACTTGGAGAAGTGTCTCCAAAGACATTGGTGTCCAAAAGATGAATAGCTCCTATGTTACCTGCTTCTGCTACTACACCAGCAATGTTAGGCTGCAAGCTAGCAAGCAGAAGAGTGAGCGGAGCAGCGCTGTTTCCACCTACGACTCAGAGGTGAATTGCTAATGAGCTTCTGGAGCTCTGCAGAAGAAAAGTCCTTGAAAATAACACAGGTAACGTGATTTTGGCTAAAAACTTCATAATCACAATTTAAACACCAGTGAGAACACTTTAAGTTGTAAAAAAAAAAAAGAAAAAAAAAAAACACAAAGAGAGTGTTTTTAACTGATCCAAGCATCTTTTAAGCATAATTATTTTGAATCACAGCAATATTGTTTTGGGCTTTACTGCTGCTTAAAGTCTGACAGTCGTTCAGACCTTTTGTTGTGGACTGGGGGCTGTAGCCTATCTAAGCTGTCATTTGGCGAAGGAGGCACCTGTGTGTGCCCTGCCCCCATCAATGTGGGGAACTCAGGATCTCAGGTCTTAACTTCTATTAAATCTGAATCAGATTTTATGTGTAACTTTTAAAGATTGTAAAGAAATCTTCACAAAGTTGCAAACACTGACAGTTAAAAAAGGACTAAATGTTCAGACTCACCAACAACCAGCTGAACTGTGACATCTTTAGATAATGTAGGAATGAAGCATCTGTATCCTCCTTCATCTGAGAGTTTGACTTCAGAGAGTTTCATGGAAACGTTTCCATGTCTCAGTTTATCAATAAACACCGATGATCTTCCTCTGAAGGATGGATGTTTATTACTCCCTAGCTCCACGCCGTCACGCCACACAAAGACAAATCTGGGGTCCAAGTCAGGTCTAGACCACTCCACGGTCATGTCAAAGGTGTTCATGGCAGGGTCCAGGTAACTTGGGAAAATGACATCCTCACCAATCAATGACACAATAGGCTGAGATGGACCAATCATCTCAGGCTGACCTTAAGTAGAAACAGGAGTTTGGTTTTAGTTTTTGGATATCAGAAGACAACTGTGTTTATGTTGAAAGGCAAACTTTATTTTCAGTTAATGTGAACTAATTTTACATATTAACATTAAAGTGTTAGTGATGTTGATGATTCACCTGCGCAGGAATGTATCAGGGTGAGAAAGACAACAGTGAGGAAAAGCAGGTCAGTGAAGGCACCAAAGGGAAGGCTGAGGGACCTTCTGTCCATCAGAGGAAACATCCTGAAGCTTATAAACAAAAAACAAAGTCAGATGAAACATAAAGAGAGACTATGTCACTCAAAATAACTTAAAAAAAATAAAACATTTAATCTGTGGTAATGGAGACCTCAGGGTCCTCTTTAATTATTTTGTTAATATGGATATGAGAAATTGTTTGACATGCAAAATAATCCCATTCCGAAAACAATGAAAATGTAATTAAAGAAATTAACTGACGGCTTTAACTAACTTGTAATGAATACAGACTTTTCTACGTTAAACAGTTTAGCTGCAGAGAGAGAAAGATTAATCTTTTAAAACATAATTTTTCTAATCCTGAACAAACACTAGATCTACTGCTCTCTCTGCTGCTGGGTCAACTACGTTACATCTTTATAAACTTCAGCAAGCTTTAACCAGGTTTGGTTTAATCACAAACATAATATTTGAACCTGATCTTATGACATTTGTGGTTTAAATAGTAACAAACCCTCCTGTGTCCTTCATTGCTTTGTGAACCAGCTCAACAGTTTCAGTTTCACTTACAACAAAAGAGTCGATAGTTTCAATAAAACATCGAGCTACACTGATAAAAATTGTTACTTTAAAACTGTAAACTGTGATATAACACACATGAGAGTAGAGGACTATTACCCAGACTTTCTTACCTGCTGTGAAGAAAGTCTATGACAGACAGAGGAGGCAGACGGCGCTCAGCTTTTCTCTCTAGACACAAAATTAAGATTTTCAGACATTTAAAGAGACCAGAAAAACACGTTATTTTGGCTTATCTACTAAACATTTAGTCCTTGAAAACATTTTACATACCTACAAAACATTTAGTCCGTAAAGACACGTTCGTACCTGTTTGATAGTTCCGCGAGGTAACGGAGGGCGTCACACGGTCAGAGTCCGATAACAAGGCGATAAGAGGGTAAGGAAGTAAGGACGGTAGGGTACTTCTGGTCACCTGCATGAAAAGGTGAGTACAAGTTTACTACCCCATACACTTCACGGTCCTTTTATTTCATTAAGAACATGTGTACTGTATATGGGTCAATGACGTGACGCCTCAATATTCTGTCCGGCTGTATTTTCTTTATGTTACAAAGAGTTTTAAATGTAAAAAAATATACTATCTATTTGTATTATCTCTCTAATATATGGAGCCACTTCAACTTTTCAAAAATCAGGAGTTTTTTGTAATTTTTTTTAACTTCAAAGGGTCAAAATATCATGTGGTGCGACCGTCCGGCCATGACTTCTGTTTTGAAAACTTCTTTGAAATTGCTCTAAATCTATTACAATTTGGTTCCTGCAATATTCGTCATAATTTTGAAAGTGTTTTTTATTCCTGTACAAAATTGCAAAGCTTTTGCAGTTATATTTTTTTCATAATATTCAAACGAATTTTGTCCGATCGTGTCCATTTCATTAAATATCATGTGGTGCGACCATCAAAAAATGACCATTTTTGACACTTTTATGCTGAAATTTACTCAAGGACAGGATGTTGGATCATTCACCATTTTGTCGTAGAGCTATGGAATCAGAAAGAGGGTTGGTGGTTCTCTCATTTCTTAAAAAAAAAAAGACCTTTTCAACTGCTGTAGTGGTGTTTGCACTTTTGGATGTCATGTGGTATGACCTCAAAAAAAAACCAATTAATTTAAGTTATTTCCACAAATAAGTATTTTAATTATAAATTTCATAGTGACCTTTTGTGGGAAGCTAGTGAGGTTTGTTTATGTGACTAATCATGTATCAGTAAGATTTGACTGAATTTGAAATGTCATGCGGTGCAACCAATTATCATGTGGTGCGACCACTGCAGATGGTTTTCCATCATAAATAAATGCCCTCGATTGGCAGTATTTACGCTTTTTATATTCAATTGATGATTGATAAACACTAAGTACTTCATTTTTAGTATTATTTTGAATTTTTTTTGTTATTTGATGAGTCATTTTGCTAACATTTCTGAAATAATGGTTAGGTCATCTCTGTACAAAATAAGAAAAAAAATATTAAAAGCATGCCATTTCACTTAAGGTATTTATGCTGTTGTTAGCAATTTATTAACTTTCATGTATCAATTTAAGTCATTTTAACTTATTTTACCAGATGCCACTGGCGAGCAAAGTTAAAAGCGCTCGCTATAGGCAGCGTGTCAACTCTGACCCTGACCCCTCTGACCTCTGACCCTGCAGCATGTTGTTCATACCAGGGCTGGTCAAAGATTGGGCCAAGATTGTTGACATCGTTGCGCGGATGGTGAGAGGAGCGCTTCGCCGAGAGCGTTATATTCATGATCGTTCAAATCCGTTTGATTTACCTGATGACGTTCTCTATGAACGTTACAGGTTTTCCTCGGACGGCCACAATAGTCGGGGAACATGAAGTCGAAGCAATACACTAATATTTGCCAAGCTCCAAGTTCAAGTTTCATGCGGCATATCAGTCATCATTCAGAATTTATTGAAGCAGATTAGAAAACTCCTCTTAACCCCAAATGTGTCTGCAGATGACATGTGACCATCAGATTATGGAGAAAAAAGAAAAAAAAGGCAGTGTGAGGAAATCACTGTTTACGCGTTGAAATATGTACAAATAAAATCTTCTAGTAAACCAGCTAACCACTTTGACGGATGTTTTTAGATTTATTTTTATTTGCTCCCACCTACTCTTTTCCCCACTGCTGTTGTATCTGAAATAATGAGGTAAATGATGGAGGTGATCACACACGCTGCATGACAACATATTAAGGGGCCATAAATTTATCAACGCACAAATGAAATTTACACAATCGATGATTTTTTTTGCCAGCAGTCCCTCCGGTTTTAGCGGCTGTAGTTATCCTGCTCCTCAATGTTATAACGTTGCGGTGCTCCTCATATTAGCGTAAAACGATGCTCTGTTCCACGGCTGTGAAATATGACGTGCAGCCTTCTTCATTGTGTAGATTGGTCCGGTGGCACTGACCCCGCCCCCTTTACATGTGCGCACACAGATCTAGACTGGCCACAACTGAATTTAGTTAGCAAGTTGATATCCTGCCTCGTAGTACAGCTGATCGGGGTTACGGAGATCTGGTGAAGTTTAGCGAGTTGTGGCAGAGTTATCCTGGGTGTGTTAATCCAGCTTCAAAGTGCAGGCCTCTGGACCACATACACAAACACACATAGAGTTAAATTTTTGTAAAAAAGGGAAATAAAATGTTCGCGTTCATGTTTGAAATGTTAATAAAATTTGGTTTTAATATAAAATTTGCATGAAATTAATTGTTCATAGGTCTCTTTAAATTGATTTTTAATGATACAAGGTCTTCAAGTCATTTGGCGCGACCACCAATCATGTGGTGCGACCAATAATAACATTAATTATATCAAATACAAACTAAAATATCTAATTTCTGTAACTGAGACATTAATACCTGATACAATATGCTTACATGAAAGGTAGTTTTAAAACATTTTTATCAGTATTATGCAATTTAAAGAAAAAAATAGTCAGTGAACTACATTTGATATAGCGACTGTGACATTATAGAGCTAATATATGAGATCATTATTTACAAAAACTCAAATAAAATGCAAAGGCTTTGTTCCTATGTACTTGATATTACTGACAATTTGTAAAAAACTATAGAGTATGTTGAAAAAATGTAATAATTTTGAGATAAATGATGGTCGCACCACATGACATTTTTTAAGGCCACGGGCAATTCATCTATATGAAAAAACACTAAAATTGCCTAATTTAAAAATTAAACTTTAGTTTTTGTATACATAACATCCTTAGTGTTTGAGCTGTTGCAAAAGATATTCTTATTTTTGGTATTTTAAAATTGGCGTGTTGAAAAACCTTATACGTCATTGACCCATATGTGAATGGGTCTGTGGGCTATAAATCACGGCTTTAAAGTAAAAGAGCCAGAAAAAAAGCTGCATTTCTGTCGTTTAAATGACTCAGGCCACATTTGAAATATCATAGTTAGGCATATTAATGAATTATAGGACATTATTTTATTTTATTTACAATAATTCTAAGTTAAGAATAAGGTTTCCCTCATTTTCTGTTTTATGAAAATGACTGATTTCTTAAGGTGAAGTGCTCGGTGGTAGTGTGTCTTACTTACCAGCAGAGGGCAGTGCAGATTCACTCACAGGCAACAGTGAAGTTTGATCAAAAAAAAATAAGATGAGGAGGGGGACAGATACATCTAAACAGAGTTCCTTGAATAGGCTCTGTTGTATTATGACTGACTGCGAGTCCAAGAATAATGGCTCAGGGAGGCATTGTTATGACCAGGGGTCATATGTGTCCTGTTGTTTTTTTTTCATCAGCACATTTTTTTTGTGGTTAACCCTCCCTACCTGTGGTAGGTGCTGTTCCTTTGTGTCTGTTTTGTTTTCCAGGAGAGGACTGGCCTGATTGGACAGCAGCTGAAGAGGGGAGCTTTGAAACGGGTGGCTGCTGGAGAAGCTCACTCTCTCATTCCTTTGTCTTGACTCACAGCCAGACCTGTGTTTATGGAGGCTAATCTTGTTGTTAGATATTGAAAACTTTGGGAATTTTGATTTGTCTTTTAAGACAAATAGCTTTAGTTTAACTTAAGAACAGTCTGGTAGGTAGGGGTGGGCAGCTATTTTTTTTTTTTTTTACAAAACTTTTCTCTTGTTTTGGGTTAGGGAGGCAGATAAGACCTCCTGTATTTTATTTGATACTATTTCTTTTTTTTTTTTTAGGAGAGATGGCTATAAATAAAAGAGGTTTTGTTTGTTATTTTGGCCTGTGTCCACCCTGAAGTCGACTACCATTTATGCTGAGAAATAAAACCATTTAAGACTGCATTTTCTGGTTGGTTGTCGGTTTTCTTGAGGAGTTGGGACAAAGGAAGGAGCACTAAATGTAACATCCAGCATACCCCTAGGCTGGGTCGTAACACCATGTATCATTTTCATTCCACTTCACAATTATGTGCTACTTTGTCTTGGTCTTTGACAAAAAATCTCAATAAAATATTTTAAAATTTGTGGTTGTAGAGTGACAAAATGAGAAAAAGTTCAAGGGGTATGAATACTCTTTCAAGGCACTGTATATGTCCATCAGCTTGTTCACTTTCTAAATAAAAAAGAAGCATGAGTGAATTTGGTGACTTTTAAAAACGAAAAATTAGACTCTGTTGCTGTCTTTGTGTGTCCTGCAGCAAAGAACAAGAAAAGGTTATAAAAGAAACTTTAGAGCTGCATTTTTAGTTTAAAAACCATCTCTGTTTGTTTCAGGGGTTACATGTCTGGGCAAAAACTCGACACTGTACAAGAACAGTGTAAATAAAATGATGAGCTGATGTGAAGGGTGGAGGAATGAATGAAGAGCAGAGCAGTGCAAAAAGAGCAAAAGTAGGATTCAGATACTTCAACAGAAATGTGATGTTTCTGAAAAAAGGTTTTAAAATGCAGCAGTGTTTCCTGAACTCTTACCACAGGCCAGGTAGTAGTTAGCATTCTGCAAAATAAGTATGTTCTGTATATTACAATGATGGGTTTGTCTCATACAGACCTACAGCAACCACTTCTAACACTAAAATACAGCTGATGAGTGTTGACTAGACACAGATTAAAACTATCACTAGTGGGTCTAGGACCGAAAAGAAACTTTATTTGGGCAGTGGGGGTATAGCTCAGTGGTAGAGCATTTGACTGCAGATCAAGAGGTCTCTGGTTCAAATCCGGATGCCCCCTACAGCTAGGTTTATGCTGCTTAACTCACCTCTCAGGTATTAGAGCCTTTCATACAGCTGAAGTTTAAAACACAAATTATTCCTGAGGAGTAAAAGACCTGAAGGGGAGACGACAGCCCATCGCTGGGCAATCAGAAACCAAGACCTCCGAGTGGGTCAACAAACTCACTTC